CTTCCCACTAAACAGAAATACTGTAAAGAATAAAACCAGAATATGCTCTGAGCCTTTATTTCTGTTCATCGTAATCTCTTAATACTCAGTTCTGTTACCTATGAGCATCTTCCTGTCATCCCCAGTTCAGAAGAGAGGAGCATTAATTTCTGTCAAATTCCATTATTTTTACTGTCCACGTGTGGGTTGTTTTTAATGTCTGTTTGCTTTAAACCTGTTACCATCTGAAGACTCATTGTACACATATGTATGAAACATGACACAGCCCATGAGTTTCATGAAGTCAAATATTTTCTCAGAAAGTTCTCTTTTCTTTTTTTGAAGCTTCTAAATATCTCTAGTGTAAACAAAATGTAGTAACCTACTGAATGCAGGAAGACCTCACTGCACACTGTCAGGCAAAAACTCCAAAGCTGGACACTTAATGATGCTTCTGGATTCTTCCTTTACTCCTAAAAACAGTAATTCCCATAACAATCTCAGCATAACATGACCCATAGTGACTCCAGACTGCCATTCTCTCACTAAAAAGCCACATATCTTTCTCAAATAACCATGTGTATCATCAGGAAAGTGAATTTTTACTGTCTTAAGTTTTCTAAAGGCTAGTCTGTTTACATTTCGATAAATCAATTTTTATTGCTATGGTTGTGAATGTGTCATATTAAATTATGGACTCCAGCATGTTCTTGCAACAGTTTATATCTGAAAAAAAAGAGAATAGAATGGTACAGTTCAGTTTCATGTGTCTATGAATCTGTTGATTTGTTCTGATTTGTGTTTGTACAAATCCTTCTGCTGTGTGTTCACACTGTACCCTTCCTGGTGGGATATCCAAGTGCTTCATCCATATTACAGAAACTTGGAACAAGGTGCTCAAAATGGTCAAATGGTCACTTCTTGCTTGTCATTCTGTGACCTTTCCTGCTGCTTCCCCTTTGCTGATCTTTCTCTTTGCCTTCCAGCAGGGCCTGGAAGGGAAATACTTCACTTGTTAGTGTTACTCATTTCAGAGCTCTGCTTAGCTGAGGGGAAGCAGGTAGAATTCCTAGCCACAGTGGTGCTCCCCAGGGTGAGGAACACCCATGGGATGATGCCATTGACCAAGCACAGTGCCCATCAAACCTTGTTCATCATCCCTGGTGGGGGATCTGGCAGCAATGCCAGCACAGTGACCAATCTACACTGTCCCCTGTGCCAGTGGGTGCCTAGAAACTATGCCCCTGGATCATGCCTAGAGATTCTACTCTCTTTTGGTGCCTTCTTCCTATGTATTGGATCCTATTCACTAAGCACAGGATGCCATGGCTGGATCTGCCTTTGAATCCTGAACCCTACCAAACGTACCTGTGTGCTTCCTGTGTAACACTGACCTCTTTGCTAACAGCCTTGTCCTCTTCTTCAGAGAGGGGATGGGAGAGTAACTCCTTGTTGAGGCAGAACAAGAGCAGTGCTGAGCAGAGATGGGCCCTGGAGGCTGAGTGATGTGTCTGGAAGGCATGGGAGCATGTCTGCCCTCCACTGTTGCTCTGTTCCTCCCTCCTTCACAAAGATGCCATTGTTGAGAAGGGCTGCCCAGAGGTCAGAGATAGTTCAAGGTGTTTCATCCCAGCATCCCAGTTTTCCATACAAGCCTTGCCCATCCCCTGTCTTTGAGAGGATTGTTCTCCAAGTGCAATATCATCATCTTTAATTGGGATTGCTTGTACTGTACCAGCATCTCAAGTGGTCTGAGGGTCAGTCTGAGGTGTAAGGCTCAGGTGTGTCTGCAGTGGGTGGGAGGACCCCTCTCCCCAGGGCTGACCATACCTGTACAGGACAAGGGGTAGAATACCCAGGCAGACCTGTGGGGTGATGGAGGCAGACACCCCACCTTGCTAGAGAGGGAAGAGGAGAAAAAGCCTCCTCGAGCCTTTTCCTCAAGCTGCCAAACATAAGGGACAGGGAAACACAAACACTCTGATTTCTCATTAAGGTCCCCCAGGCACATCTCAGGACCTCTGAAAGAAATTTGCATCTCTGATTTAATTCAGCTGAGTTAAATGAATATGATTAAAAATTCTTGATAAATATCAGGCTGATTTGTAAGAACTATTAGTTGGCCTTGTGGCAACTTGGGGGGAAATCAACAACTGATTACCTACACTTGAGTGTCTACAGCATATCCTTATGAGCAGTAGTGCAGGAAAGAGTGAAACTAACCTTACCAGCCCAGAAAAGTAGTAGCTTAGCTCAATCAAAAATATGTTTATAGCATAGGATAAGGTGATCAGTGCCAGATGATTTTTTTATAGTGCAAGCTCTGTGTCCACTGGGAATAGACTGTATCAAAATAAACATGTGCAACCTTTCTTCTGGAGAGTCCCTGGAGCGAGCTGGCACTCTGCCTGAATTACTTCTTTCCCAAGCAACTATTCATTGTATGAATGAATGTGGGGGGGATGTTTGTGCTGTAATTCTCCATCTGATAACTAAGCCAGGGGTACATGGTTAACAGTTTTAGTCAGTCTTTTGTTTCCAAAATGCCATTCTTCCCTACTTGTGGATATGCATCTTTCGTATGTTTGTTTGAGTACCTCCCTGATGGGAGTACATGAGCTTTCTCTTCCTTGTTCCAAGTAGTTCCCATCTTTTTGAATGATAGTCTTCACTCCTTGATGATAATGATGATACTAATGAAGTTCCAAATATAACTGTCACTGTTAAATATTCTGCTGGCAGGAGTTACATCATGTGGTGTTCTTACCTATAGGTTTCCAAATTCCCTTTGTTATCATGAAAGGATTCGTCACATTTTGAGAAATACTTATGCCACTAGCTTTTTTATGTCAGTTCTTTGCAGGGGAACTGTGGCACAGAGCCTTATTTACTGCCTGCCTCCATCATTGCAATGAGTCAGAATTTTCTCCTAAACCAAGAGACAGTTTGCAGTCTGGGACCTTCACAGCTGAGGGGCTGGTAGCATAACATAAAGCAAACAGGTTGCATTAAGCACATACCTAAGCTCCTTGCCATGGGTTTCTCCATGAAGGTGTAAGGAGAGGGCTCTGGTGGGGCTCTGGACAGAGATGGCAACACCAGCTTGCAGCAGTTGTATACTCTGATGTATCTATCTTATTGAGAATAGTTTTAATTTCATATGGTACATACGTACTAGCAAACCCTGTTAGCAATGCTTATGATGCTCTAGAGATTTTGCTATGTGAGCAAACAGAAGCAAAATGACAATTAGATATTGTCTCACGCTAGCAGCAGCACAGCAGGTCCAGAATTTCATGTCAGTCAGTGAGAAACCTTGTTTACTGGAAGCTGGCCATGAATTGCTTTACAGATCTAGCCAAATCCTTGGCAGAACAGACCAGTTAGATCTGTTGCTCTCTCTCTCAAGAGTAGAGGCTTCCTGGCAGTGTAATTTCTTGATGGTTTAGGGGCTACAGCTGTAGGAAGCCCCTTTTCATTGTCTCATCCTCCTCCATTCTTCCTCACAGCCACTCAACACCCTTGTCCACATATTCCTGCTTTCTATTGGGAATCTGCTACAAATAGAAGAAACCTCACAGGGGTTCCTCTGTAAGACCTTTAGGGATTCAGGGAGAGCAACTTCTGCTGCTGCTACTGCCCCATTTTGATGGTCATACCCTAGATTCAGAATACAAGTGTGCATGCAACAGAACATTTTGTGCTGTGCTGTGGGTGATGAGACACTGGAACAGGTTGTCCAGGGAGGTTGTGGATGTCCCAACCCTGGTAGTGTTCAAGGCCAGGTTGGCTAAGGCCTTGAGCAACCTGGTCTAATGCAAGGTGTCCTCTCACCTTTGGGACTAGATGATCTTTATGGTCCCTACCTCCTAACATCCTATGATTCTATGATTTTGAGCAAAGGTTTAGCAAAGAAACACTGCAAAATCCTAAATGCTAATCCTGCCATTTTAACGATGCCCTCTGTATTCTTGAATAGCATAGGTTTCAATAAGTGAGCAAATAACAACAAAACATACTGAATATTGTCACTACATTTGAGTCTGAATTATCTGGAAACACGGTGATTGGGATAAAAGTTTCATTATGGGACTAAGCAAATAAACACCTAAAATATATGTAAAATACTAGCTAATAAAATTTTGCTGGGCTTCCACATTTTCCTAGTCCAAAATATGGATTATGATATGGCTGACTTGCAAGTCAAAAGCCATGGCTGACTGTGGCTGTTTTGCAGGTCAAAACAAATATCTGAAAAAACATTTTAAAATTACATGGTACTATTTGTTATTTTGTTTTGTATAATGGAGTTCAGCAATTTAAATTCACCAGTTATGACTAAAAAAACTAGTCCGTTGGCCTTCATATTTCCTGTTTATCCTTCATCAAAGAGCTGAGTGTCATTAAGTGGTAGCTTTGCCCTCTAATCAGTGACCAGTTACTCTAATTCCTCATAACTCATTTGATAAAAAGTTAAGGGCTGGTTTTGTGTTCTTAGCTAACTGTTGAGTAATGTCCAGGTAGAATATTGCTGTAAGAGAACTAGTAACAGAAGCACTGTTTTTACTATAGTTACATTTTCACTTTGTTTTTTTCATAAAATATTCTTGAAACAGGCAAATTTATGTGTGACTCATATGTGGAAAATAACATGGGCTTAAATAAAGCCTAGTAATTAACTTCCTTCCTCCTCCCTTCCAATTTTATTCATGTCTTACATGTTGAGGACTCATTAAATGAGAAACATTGATTGTTGAAAAAGAGTGCTATCATTGCCTGTCATTACCCCACTGCTTTGCAAATGAGGTTTTGACAATAACCAGTGGATTGTGCTGCTGTTTCAGAAAATATTTGTGTGGGATGCAGCAGCACATGGATTTTGTATCCAAAAGGGGTGCCAGATGCCACGAGAGGTGCAGTTGCACAGGGCTTCCTTCTTGGGCTGAAGTGGTTACAGATCAAGTGTCACTTTCTTATAAGGTCACAGAGCTAAGGAGGGTGGGCAGTGAGCTAGTGACAAGTGTTTCTGAGGCACTCAGAAACAGCTGGGCTGCTTTTGTATTTTTCCCTTTGCCTTGCCTACACAAATGTACTTAATTTAGCCAATTTACCCTTTTCTCCTTACAGCTCAGACTGCTGGAGCAATTGAACTCCAAAGCTGAGGTCACAACATTTTGGTGAAGATTAGGAAAAAAAGCGATGGGCATGCCTGGTGTCAGCATGGCTGGGCAGGTGGTCTGACTGGGCTGCAAGAGGGTTTTTTAGTGTGGCTTAGGCAGTGGGATTTATAAGGACACGTTGAAGTGTAATTCAGTAAAGTTACTACCATCTCTTTTGGCTTTGGGTCAAGATCCACAGAGGAGGATGAAGAGCTTCCCAGTAGGAAGTGCAGCCTGAGAAGTCAAAGGCATCAGTGATGCTGGCTCTTGCTCTGAAGATGGCTTTGGGGGAAACATGGGGGCAATAAAAATGCTTTTCAGCTTGAGCAGACCCCAGGCTCACCCAGCCTGCAGGTTTGCAGAGAGTGACCTCCACACAAAAAAATCCCCAACAAGTGTCTGCTTTTGTAGTGTGCAGATCCACCATGTGGTGCCTGTGAGTCTTGGTCCCTGGCTAGAAACCCTAAGGCTGGCATAATGCTCAAGAATAACATTACCCACAGTGGATATTTCCTAAAATCAAGGACTGTGGCATAGAGCACTGCTGACATTTTTCTAACCTGGATATCATTACTGTTATTAAATTGAAAGAGAGTGACTGTGGGATTAACCTGCAAATAGAGCTAACAAAATGACAATTCATAATGGTTCTTGCATTCCTTCAACAGAAAAAACTGCTTAGACAATCTAATGGATGAAGATGAGAAAGACAGGGCAAAGAGGTGAGTATCTTTTCTTTTATAACTCTCTGTGATGAGCTTGATACTGTTCGTTCCTGCAGAAGCTGTTTTATCCATAATCAATTAATTGAAGAGCAAGAGAGTAAAATACAGTCAAACACAATTTGAAAAAATGCCATCTCACAGACTCCTACTCCTGGCTTCACTGTAAGAAGAAAATAACCTAGCACTGTTTCCTGTGGAAAATGTTAAAAAAGCCAAGGCATTGATCGTTTTCTTCACATTACTGCAGAACATCAGAACTGAAGCACCAAAAACATCCTCCTGCCACTGTAATACGTCATCTGAGCTTCCAGAGTGTGCAAAAATGTGGAGTTTTTTCTTAAAATACATTTTACAAAAGAAAAAAAAAGAGAAAAGTGTGGTTTTTTTCCCCTATTAGAATGGTTATTTATTAATTTATTCATCAATGCCTATCTCACAGCAATGAAAACACACAGAAGTTACCTTTGGAGCAGAGAAAGACCACGAAAAGTCAGCCTTAAACTGGCACAAACCTATATTCACATACAGTCTGTACTCCATTGAGTCCTGGTTGGTGGGAATTCATTGTGAACCCTTTGTTGGGAGAGAAAAGGTGTGTTTCAAGGCAGAAGACCTGTGGCAATGAAACTCTTAATAACTGTCAGAGCTGACCAGCATCTGCAGAAAAGCAGTTTGGAAGCATTCGAGGTTATCAATGCCTCAGCCTGCAGTTTAATTACTTTAGAGAGAGCCAGAGGTTGCCCACATTTTTCCCCTTGGTTCCCTCTAATGAGAGTTTTTCCAGTCTGGGCACAAGCAGTTGATCCAGTTTCATCTCTTTTGATTCCTTCTCTGCTTCTTTTCCTCCCTGCAGCTTTGTCTCACCAATATAGGTCAGCACAGGCTGCAGCCAGGCTCAGCTGTTCCCCTTTGCTTCCTTTTTGGAGGATGCAGGAAGGAGCCCACCTTGCAGCGCTGCTTCACCTGCTAAAGGCCTGATCATCTTCAAGATATTTGTGTGCTAATTATTTAGTAAAGAAAAAATTCATTAAATGAATGCATATATGAAAAGATAGGATAACACGTATCCTCACTATCGACGATTGTCATCACCATCTGGTATGGTTTTCATGCCTTTTGTTCCCAGAGGAATTTTTTTTTGTACCCTGGGGCAGGCCTCTATCAGGGTGCATAAAAAAGTTATAACTTTAAAAATTAAAAAAGGAAACTGCTTCTTCAAATGGTAATTTAAGTTCATTTTGCTTTTTAGAAATAAAGCTAAAGTTGAAATCGAGTTTGAAATCATGAGATGGTTCATGGAAATCTAAAGTTAATACATTGTACTGAAATGGGTCAGATTCATTTCAAAGCTACAGGTTTTCTTCCAGAGAGATTCAAACTTGGGAGAAGCTATTTGAAGAATATTTTGCTGCTGCTATGTCTTGTAAACTGAGGACTCTCACCTGTCCTGTACCACAAGGGAAACACTTTTTTTTCTTCTATTTGGTATAAGGACTGGGTCCCTCAGGGCTGAGAAACACCAGAGGGGATTTAAAAGCCTGGGAAATTGTTCTCTCCTTTTATTTTCTGTTAAAAGTAGGTGAGACTGAAAATTTCTGGATCTGAGTTTTTGAGATGGACTCAAGCCAGGAGCTGAGCTTCTCAGGTTAGGTGTGTGTAGAGATACACATACACACCATGTACATCTGCTGCAATTTATTAGGCACGTACAGGCTGTATTACACAGACATGAAGAAAGGATCCATCCTCTCCTGAGCAGAGGCACTTGCACTCTCATCCCTGTGCCAGGTGTTTAGTATTTGGCCAAGATACAGAACTTTTCTTTCAGGAAGAACCCTGGGTAAATTAAACCCTGTTCTGACTCCGCAATTTCACTCCAAAAACCTGAGTGTAAAATGTGGATATGATGGCACCACAGCTGGGAGCACTGAAGACTTATGTGAAGTTTTCTGATATTCTGAGATCAGAAGCCATAGTTTCATTTTCAGTTCTTTGATGCTAGATGAGATTTATTTCGGTTATAGAGATTTATTAATTCTAAACAAAAGGTGTGTTTTGTACACTTTTTTCTCTATTTGCTCTTCTTTCAGTTTGCTTTAATAGTATATAATTTTAAAATACTTTTTTTGCAATTCGGTTGAATTCCAAATTCTAAGCAAAACCAGTTTGAAGTGAACCATGAGAAAGTGTTTAACCATGAAGACTACTACCTGCCATTTTCCTCTGAAATAAAAAGTAAATTTAAGAATCTGAATGAATGTATGTGGTACACTTACTTGCATTGATACATATATAACACACTCCACTGGACTGTCAGAAGAAATCTGATATTTAGTGTAATTTCATTAGTTTCTTTGCAATTGCACATTTCATTGGAAATTAGCAAAATGTAGCACCTATTAGTCAGTCAGTATCTGTCCGACGGAGACAACAAGCAGCGTGCATGTAAGCAAATAAAAATGGCTGTTAAATTGTTGATTTTGATCTTCTGAATTCAGGCTGTTCTGTATTGCCTTTAGCTGTATTCACTGAAAGTCCTGATTTTATTCATACTGTGTCTCCTTCCCCTTGAATATGCTGTAATCTTTGTGGAGTAGCAAGGAGGGAGGAGAACTGGGACAAGTAGTATGGAATTAAGACAGAGGTTGTTTGGGCTTACTGTGATTGTATGCCCTAGCAGTGAAGTAAGCAAGACTAGGAAATAATCTTCAAAGGGAAGTGATGAAAACTATCTTACTTCATGCATTTATAACTGTACTAAACAAAGTATTTTCAACTGTGCAGGCATAGTTTTTATCATTTTTTTCCAATCTTTTCTCATTTTTTTTCCTTTTCAAAACCTTACGTGATCATCGATTCATATCTTGGCAGAGTTATTTCCACTAGAGGAGTTTTTATATTTCCTTTGTGAATAAAATGTCAAGTGTTAAAAATAGATACTTTAAATTTCTGTCAAGGCTTTTTTCCTTTTTTTTTAAAGCAACACATTCCCTAATGACAGTTGGTGGTTTATTTTATTTTCAGGGAAATCTGGACTCTTTAAGCTTAAAATGAATTGGGAACTGAATTATGAGGAAGTAAAATGTTGATGTTCTTAACATTGCCCTGGACTGTAGAGAAATAGGATAAGGCTGGAGCTTTTCACATCTTGTTCTGACAGCCTTTTGCAGTGTAATAAGAGCAAGCTGAAATCAGTCAGGCAGTATCCACCCAATCTCTTGTGTCCAAAACTGTAAAACAATCAAGCATTGGCTTCCATCCAGTGTATCTCTGAGTGTGTTCAGGGTTGAGAGCAAGACAAACAAAAATTACCCCTCTGTCAGTAGTAGCATCCAGAAGCCTCTGTAGTGATTTCTCTGCTGAAAATGTTTATTGCCGTCCTGGTCCTTGCAGGGGATGTGTATGCTGGGCTGAATTCTGCTCTGATTTTCAGCAGTGTGCATCCAGAGCTGATTTGAGGCACAGCAGAGTTAGTTGGGACTGAGAAACTCAAGAGTGAGAACTGGCCTCTTGGCTTTCCTTTCCCATCTACATGTAACCAGATTTTTAGATCTTTGCATAATTGACAAGGCAAATCTCGTCTGCTTGAGGACCTTTCAGAAGACCAGACAAACCTACTGGGCTATACTTATTTCTATTTCCACATGGATACCAAAGTCCAGGTGATAACCTCTGAGTCAAACAGTTGTCATATTCATGAGAACAATTCAGAAAGTGTGTGTGTGTGTTACAGATCGACATGGAGCAAAAAAACCCAAAGTGCGCATGCTGAAAAGATTATCAACAGCCTTAATGACAGTGTTATGATGGCACCAAAACACTCCAAATGAAATCAAATCAGATCCTTTCTTCCTTTGAGCTCTTGGGACACAGCAGCAGAAGTGGGCTCTCTCTGAGAAATCTGCAAGCTAAATAGACAAGACTGGTGGTGAAAGCTGTAGAGTCTTCATTTTAAACCTAGAGACTTGAGGCACTGACACTGATTTTCCCAGTGGCACACAGAGATTAAGGGCAAACACTGCTGGCACTTTCAAGACCCCAAGTCTGGCAATGCATCCCAACCTCAGACCCAATCCATGCTGATACCCTCACTCCTGCTTGCCCTTGTTACCTTGGAAAGAAGACTGAACAAAGTGGCATACGGACCAGATGGGACCTGCAGCAACTTCTACTCAAGTCTCTGATCTTAATGATTGGAAGACAATATCCTGATTCTTCTCTGCCAGTCTGGAGGTAGGCAGAGCACCTGTTACCAAAGTGGCCAAAGGTCCTTCTAGATCAACCCAGCTCTAGTGCAACAGCTGCAGGACTGGGGTCCCTCTCTTTTGTTAAGACTGCACAGATGGGTATGATCCGGTCTCCACTCTTCTTCTTTATGGACAATTTTACCATTGTCACAGTATTCCTATTTCTTCTCACTCTGTGTGCCTCCCCAGAGACTGCATGAATTTTTGAGATCCTATATATGTCTGGGAGATGGACAGAGCACCTTCAACTACAAGCTCGGTGTTGTTCTGATAAGCTCAGCCAGGGTGCCCAGAGGCAGCACAGAGGAGTGAGCAGAGCCTCCATCTCCCCGCTGGGCACTAAAGGTGGCTCAAAGACCAGAGCAGGAGGTGGGAACTGTTGCCCCCCACTTGCTTCTGCAGCTTTGCTGGAGTCCAGTGTCAATCTTCACAGGCTGACACGTGCAGCAAGCCCATTTTCTCTATATACATTGCAAAGAGCAGGTACATGATAATTTTCCTTCTTGGTCTGCTCATCCTTTGTTTCTTTTCCCCTGTCTACAGGGCTTCACGTAATAAGTCTGAGAAGAAGAGGCGTGATCAGTTCAATGTTCTCATCAAAGAGCTCAGCTCCATGCTTCCAGGCAACACTCGCAAAATGGACAAAACTACTGTGCTGGAAAAAGTCATTGGCTTTCTGCAGAAACACAATGGTAAGGTTTAGTGCAGCTCTTCATGCACTTGCCAGACAGTTACTATAATATCCTGTTTCCTTCGCTGATTATCAGGATGGCTCGAGGGACCTAAAAGTGCCAACATAAGGTATTTGAGGTTTTTTCTATCTCATCAAAAAAGATCATTTGCAGACACTGTGCTGCCCAAATCCATCTCCTTGTTTGCTCTTCAGTTGAAGATGACTCTCAACCTGCTAGAAAAGGGGGCAAATGGCAGCAACTGAGGGAAAGAGGGCAACAGTGCCCTGCAGCACTCAGGAAGAAGACAGATGCTTTGAACAAGAGAGATTTGGGAGCAGAGGGAAGATTCCCTTACTTGAAATTTATAATATTCTGAGCAGAAGAACAAAGCATTCATCCCAGTTTCTCTGCAGAAAAAATGCAGGGAAGCAATCTGTTCAGCACCCCAGCTCCTCAGTGGACTGTGTAGGACTCAATTTTCCACACTGAGTAGAAAACTCAGACCAGAAAGCGCCTCTCTTTTTGAAGCCAGCATCAGCAAATTGCATCCACAAATAGTTGACATGCTTCACCCAGTTTGCACAAGCAGAAGCTGCATCACACGTGCACAGCATCGAGTTGCAGTAGTCAAGTTCAGCATCGGAAAGCTGGGAGTTTATTTTTTAAAATGCTTGCACCAGTGACAGTTAAGTCCCTTAGAAATGTACTTTCACAGAGGGCAGAGGAGATTTCTGACCCTGCTGATCTCTCTTTGGTCTAGTTTCTACTCAGAGGGAGGAATGTGCACTGTGGCCTTCCTGATGCTTTGACACCCACCAGTAGTGCTCAACCGAAATGCTTCTCCCATATAAATCAGGGCACTGGCTTGAAATGGGGCTCTGCTGCTCTGCCCCAGTGAGGAAGAGGTTTCACTGGGTGACTGTGGGGAATGCCCCTGGTGCCAAAAAGCAGAAAGGGGTCTCACAAGATGATGCACTACATCACGTGGCTTACCTTGGCTCATCCAGCACCTCCCTACTGCACTCTGGATAGCTCTGGGTGTAACAGGAAAGACCCATTGAAACTCTTATATCATGACTCACAATTTCTCCTTAGATGAATTTTTACCACATACAAGATAGAATCATGTTTGTTTAGGTTGGAAAAGACATTTAAGACCAATGAGTCCAACCGTCAACCTATGGTTTTGTACAGGAGGGGATGACCAGGACATGTCAAGGTTTAAAAGTTACATACACTTTTTAAAAAAATATAGTAATAACTTATCTTTTTTTTTTTTTAGCTGCCCAAGGCAAAGGAAGACATGAATATGCTCAATTATAAAGCTAAGCAAAGAACAATCACCCAAGATTTGAAATAAGTGTATAAGTGTAGCTGAAGGTCGAAATAATTTACTCCAAAAGGTGCTTTTCCTTGAAAAACAACTAGATGAAGGAAAGCTAACAGTCACAAATCTTTGCATAGCAATTGGGTCAAAATGTGACTGGGGTTTGTGCACTTGCTAAAAAAAGCAAATGTTATCTATTTTTAAACCAGATTAGTAGTCACAGAGTATAATACAAAGCATCAGCATCTAAAAGTGTTGATTATCCTTCAGCGTACTTGGGATTTTGTTTATTGAGTCACATTTCCCTTCTGTTTGGTAGGCTAAACCAAGATTTTAGTCATAACAGAGGAGGAGGTAAATTTTCAGATCTTTTCCTTCATAAACAGCCTCCTTCATTGTAATCCACAGAATCTCCCAAATCTCAATTAATCCTCCCAACAGTCACCATTTCATGTACATTGGCTTTTCCAAGCTATAGATCTGCTGAAAGTATCCTACATTCTGCCACTACTTTAAAAAATCTGATGGACTCTTTTTCCTTAGTCTGGTTTTCAAACCTGTGTGTAAAACCACGGGGGCTGTGGAGAGTTGCTGTGCTGCCAGTGACAGCTCCCAGCAGTGCAGAAAGTGAGGGGAACGAGCTGGTAGGAGTAAACATCTCCACTAATACAGCCTGAACAGAGGCTTTGATTTCTTTCTCCGTGACAAAATGCTCAAGCACTCGTAGAAATTTACTGTCTTTAGTATGATTTATCCATTTGTGTTTCTCTGGCCAGTTTGCCTATGTGCTCCATATTCAGGGCATTGAGTGTTACATGCTCTGGAAGTGTTAATCAGCAGGATTAATTAGCAGGAGGTGCTGAAAAGAGAAGACAATCTGTGCTCTCCATCCCCTCACTACTAGAGCTGAGAGAGGGAGCACTCCTAGAGAGGCAGAGTGAGCAGCAAACTAAAGCAGATCGAGTTTCTCCAAATTAGAGCTGTCCTCCAGAATCCTGTCTGATTCAGTGCTGACATAAGTGACTGCTTTCCAAAGGCAAACAGTGCAACCAGATATGCAGTATGGTCCCCAGCTTCAGTGCAAAGCCACAGCTTTATCTTAGCCACGGGTGTTACCCCAGTGTGTCTGCACCCCTCCATGGAAAGCCCTCCAGGAGCAAGCCCTCTGCAGGCTTCTGTGGGGTCAGGATTGTACAGCAGTGGGGCACATCTCTTCTTGGGGCTTTATAGGCTGGCAGCACAGGGGACCCTGCCCTCCAGACAGTATTTGGGATGAGATGTTGGTGCTCCATTCCTTCTCCTGGCCAGCCCTGCACCATGTGGCTGAAGGTAGGGAGAGATTGGTGGCAGTAGCACTGGTGCAAAGCTACTGCAAATGCTTGTATTTCACTCTGCTTTTGAAAAACAGAGCAATAGCTCTGCAGTTTGGGGGTCACAGCCCTTTGGGGATCCTCTGATGGAGCTTTCTTGCTGTTCTGTTTGGCACAGAAGCTATAGGCTGAACCTTCTCTAGCATCCTAATTTTGAAGCTGTAAATTATAAATATCAATTTGACACGTGCTAATCCTTGCCTTGATTTTAATTTCATGCAAAGTGGTTTTATCTTTTGATCAATACTCCACTAACGCTGCTTGAGGCCAATGGCCTTGTGAATACAGGCTCCCACTGAAGTCAGTACAAGATGACTTGAGTAAAAAATGAGGAAAACATTTCAGGCTTGAAAACTGCAATTTTTGAATACAAAGGTTATTTCTCTCTTTTCATAGCAACTCATATGTAATATTCCAAGATAGAAGTTAATTTGAATTTTAAAGATGTAAATGTTCTATTTGTCTAGAAGTCTCAGCACAGACGGAGATTTCTGAAATTCAGCAGGACTGGAAGCCTTCATTTCTCAGCAATGAAGAATTTACTCAGCTGATGTTGGAGGTAAGCATCTTCATATACCTTTCCTAATTTTGTCTAGCACTCATGGAAACGCCCATGTATTTAGAATAAACTGCCATCTGCAGTTCCAAAAGAGGAGGTTTTGGGAGCTGCTGTATTTGACCATCAAGCAGAGCTGTCACTGGGATTAAAGTCCCCACTTGTTGCTCTTCCCTCTCAGCAGTATTATTGCACTGTGCTGCTGCAGCCTGCAAAGCTGTGCAGTGACTCCCAAGAAAAGCAGTTCAGGACAAAGATTCAAATCACAGGATAATTTTTTATTTTTTTTTTTTTTTTCACAAACAGAGGTGAGGTAAAGGGCACATGGCCCTTTTTCTCCTGTTCTTGGAAGGTGTTGTTAGCATCTAATGTTTATGCAAGACTAGCACCTGAACCGCAGTGGTGTCGTGTCCCTCTAGTGCTAGGTGCTGAACAAGCAGATAAAGCCTGACAGCTCTTGGCTTGATACAGTTGGTACTTCCACTCTGATTTTCAAGGCCCTTATCAAACACTTATTTTTCTAGCATTTTGCAATCATAGTTTTTAAATTATAGCATAGGTTCTTTTAATGCTAGCTGGGATTTGAAGGGAGGCGACACAATGGTGTTTATGTGTGTTCAAAAGGAAAAGCAAATTAGTTTCTAGAATGCATTTTTCTCTCTCTCAGTAATAGTTAGAACTGCCTTTAGTAAGGGTCTTCTGTACTAAACACATGGATGTTGCATAGCCCCACAGTGTCCTTTGAGAACAAGTTTCTTCTCCTCCCACAAATGATGTGAAGATGGTACATGATCCAAGTTCTGGTGGTGGGCAGGGAAGGATATTGGGGAGCGACTTCTCCATCACAGAGTGGCATAAAGCCACATTGCTGACTCCCAGGGGCTGGCAGTCCTTTGGCCATTGCAATTTGTTGTGATGAGACTCCCCTGGACCAGTTTTAGGAGATGCTTTTGCTCCCATTGCTCTGACAATTGCCCATTTCCATTTCTCTGCACAAGAACTTAACACACATAACTCCTTCAGTCTGCACTGAAATATGTCCCTCAGTTAGCAATAAATTGACTGTTGTTTTGACAGGCTGGGTATTTGTTGATTCTGCTTGTATCCTACACAATTTTAGATTAAAACAATCACTTTTGGTTTTCCAGCTTATAAATCACCTTCTTGCTACTGTGATTTTCCATGCCCTTCAAGATAACATTGGATATTGGGATGTCCTGTTATGCCAGATGTTCATCATTCCCTGTATTTTGCCTTTCTACTAATCTTATCTTATTAGCATTTGGACAAGACTGCTTGAAGTTTTTCCCATCCTGTTATTAAAAGATGGGAAGGGTTTTTTTTCCAAGCACTATTTCAAAAGACTCAAGGCATAATTGACTGCAGTAATGTATCAGCTTTCCTGAAAATGGCCTTTTCTTACCACATTGAAAAGGCTGTCACCAAATTACAGTGGGTGTTAGGCTCTGTTTGTCTGTCTAGGACTGATGCAATAGTAAAACCTTTGAAGAGGAAAATGCTCTCTTAATGTTGGAATGTCCAGTTGCAAATAAAGTAAATATAGAGTTATGTATGCACACATTAACTTGATTTTACCATAAAGTTCTGGTATGAGTCACTGTGTGTAATTTGCATTGGATATGAAATAAAGACTTGATTTTTTAAACACTAACAACCTTCACCATAGTAACATGCACGATCCAAGTGCCTTGTAAAACCACTGCTCTCTTCTATGGGTTAACAGCTATCATGCTTTTTTAGAAAACAGCTTGAACATACTGTACTAAAGAAAAACATTCTCTGCACCTAGATTAACAAAATCAAACTAACTATAGCAGCTGGAGGGTTTTCAGAGATGCTAAACACACACTCTTCTACTGGGGTATAAGTTATTGACTTGCTTTTCAAAGGATTGAAGCACCAGCAGATTCCTGTTGACTTAAATAGTTGTGGATGCTCAGCATTCTCTGGAAAAAGGAACATATGTTTGTGTCTTTATTCAAGGCTTTGTGTTTTCCTTTTTTTTTTTTTTTTAACAATTAGCATTTTCCAGTGTTCTCAGAATTCTTTCCCTTACTGAAGTCAGCGGGGGGGAAAGATGTGCTGTGGCTTACAAGATCAACTGCAAGTCTGGCTTGGAGGCAGGCCTGGATTTGCAGTATGGTTTTGACTCTCTGATCAGGCTGTTTGCAGTACACCTGTCTCCTGAGCAGGTATGGCCACTGGAGTATAGTCAAACCCTGCTCTGATTCAGTCATGCTTGCAGTGCCTTTGCTGCTCAAATACTGCTGGCAATGCTGACTCCAGAACATCAGGGAACTGACAGGAAAGACCCAGACTTGCTCCACTTGAAGGGTTGGGAGCTTCACCAGTGACTCCCTAATGACAATGGGAAGGTTTTTATATATTCTCTGAGCACCTGCTGTTGTGTCTTAATTTTTGGAGGTGTTCTCCTTATAGTGATCTAAAGATCATCTAGCTTTAGTTCACTTTGAGGAGAATCCCCCAAAAAATTAAGTTAATCTTGCCTTAGATCTCAAAATCTACCTAGGTTTAATTTTGAATAAAACTTAGCTCAAAACTTGGCAGCTCAGACTAAGGAAGAGACTCATTTTGATGGTAAAATTGTTCCTATGCAGAGGGTGGGGATAAGGCTGACATTTCCCTTCAGTCCTAGGAGTGAAGGGGCTTACCACGAGATGGGACCAAAGTAAGGAAGAAACTCTGCAGAAGAGTGAATTTCTCTTGGAATGAGTAATCTAATACCATGACCTTTAAAATAAATCACTCAATTAAAACTCAGGCTAAGGATTATTTGATCATTTGCATTGCTTTTACTTACATGAAAGTCCAGTAATATACAATGTTACATTAATACAAACTGAGATTTATGGGGTTTGCAAAGAAGTACCATTTTGAGATAGGACTGCATCCTTTCATCGTCCTTTGATATTTACACAGAGCTCAAATGTTCATTTTAATAACTTCCAAGGGATCCAGTCTTAGTCATTTTGCATTATTAAAATGTGTGATTAATTTAAAAACTGAGACATGAAGTGTTCCTGTGAGCCCTTTGTTGCTTCAATACTAGGTTTTACTAGACTACAAAGAGTCTTCTGAAAGTTAAATCAGACTGTAAAATCAGAGAATTACTGTTCTGCAACTTGAGATAACATTCCTACAACTAGATAACAATATGGTGCTGAAGTCAAACTGTTCTGATCAACACATGATGAGAGGTCCTGTTTACACCACTCATTCCTGTTAAAGCACTCTCGATTTGTGTGTTTTCCTTAGGCATTAGATGGCTTCATTATAGCAGTGACCACAGGTGGAAGCATCATCTATGTGTCTGACAGCATCACACCACTTCTAGGGCATTTACCGGTGAGTAATTCTGGCATTGCCTTTTCTACTACACATTGTAAAATTGGGCACTGCACTTTTAGAAACAGATGTAAAGCAGTGCTGAGGGTGGTGTTTTCCTGAAAATGTGGTGAAGGAATTTGTCCCTACATTATGCTGGCTGCTGCTGTTGCTCAGTTCTGCTCTCTCTCTGTCTGATTCATATCCTTCAGGTTTTTGTTGCTATGAGGCACTTCAGCTTGAATGGAAAAAGCTCTGCAGGAATAGTCTGGCCAGGGGAGGGACAGGGTGACCTGGCTGATCTTTTCCATCTCTGATTTCTAAGCTAGCAGAGAATAGCACCAGTGCTGCTGGCAGCCCAGTGAGGAGCTTATTAAGGGCCTTATTTTGCTCCCAGGGAGGTAAAGGACAAAAGCCCCATTGAATTTGGAGTTAGGCAGAGGCTGCTGAGCTCTCCCTGCTGTGCTTTCCCAAGGGGAGCACAGGGTGCTCCCAGGGGTGCTGGTGGAGCCAGTGCTGGGTGCCTTTCTACACCAGTCCAGCCAATGCTCCAGCACATTCAGCTTCTTTTAGCTGTGTGCTGCTCCAGGAGACACTCCTGCATGCATTGGCTCGGGCTGGAGGAGCAGGGGAGAGGGACTGCTCCAAACCCTGTTCCTGTTGCTAAGGCTGCTCTAGGAGAAATGGCACAATAATTACGGATTAATCCTCATGCTCATTTTTAGTATCCTGGTCTCAAATAAATACGTGCCCAGGAGAAAAAAAATAGCTGCCAAATCATTATTGTACTATCTCCTGCCATGTTCTTAAGAAAATTACAATTCTCTTTCTCTCATTTAGTTTTTCACCAAATATGTGTTATGTTTTTCACCCAGACAAATGCATTTCACAACACTACCTTGCTGGAATAAGAATAAAAATTATTTTCTTCTGAGAAAAAGGGAACTTGATGAAAGAGCAGTTCCTGGTTAAATGCAAAGATATTGCTATGCAACAACAGATTGAACTGAGTCTATCTATTTCAGTTTTCTTTCATCCTCAACAGTTTAGAAGACTAGTACTTTATTTTCTGATATTTGCCTCACTTCAAGGTGGCGAGAGCTTTGGCTTTGGGGTTTTCATACATTTACTGATTTCCATGAAATTTCCTTGTCTTTCATCATTTGGAGGTTTCATTGGTATTCCTTCCAAATACTGATTCTCCATGGAGATGATAGATCTGCTGTGGGAAAGTATTCCTCTTCAGGAAGACATATTTCAGACCCTCTTCCTGAAATCTGAGGTGCTGACTAAACATGGATAGATTCAGGTTTTTAATTCCTGAGTTGGACCATCAGAAACTAAATTGGTTTTGTCTCCCAAAGACATGCTTTGTGTGCTAACCTTACATGGTATCCAGCCCAAAATAAGGATTAAGATAGACATTACTTTTTATTTGCATAGAAGCAGCACTTGGCAGCCCAAGTCAGGCAGTGCTGGAGGTGGAGCAGACTTTCCTGGAGCTGTTGCAGTGGTAATGGCTAACAACTGCTCCACCAGCCCATACAGGCAGAGGAAGCATCCCAGAGAACACAACTGAACAAGGAATAAAGGCTTCTGCCTGCCCCAGGTTGGCAAATCACTATGGCCATGGGCAGGGGCCCAGCTGAGGGTGCATCTAGGTGCACACTGGGTATTTTAGTCCTCTGTTTCCCTTGCCATTTGGATTTTTAAGTTTTAAAACTGATCAGAGTGCTATCTGGAAAATCTATGTGGCTTATTTTGTTTACCTCGAGGATCTATTTGTAAGCTAAATTCAGTCATTGTTTGAGGGACAAAATACCAATTCTTTCTCCTCTGTGACAACAAGGAAAAAATACTCTTTAAATCTTCTGCTTTGAACAATGAAAGGAAAGCAAAGCTGGGCAGAATGCAGAGCAGGGCTCTCTGAGGGCTCCTGTTAAGAAAACTGATATATTTTCTTTCATTAACATCATGAAAGTCTCCAGTGCTGAGAACAAATATATCCGGTTCTCTTTAACACGGCTTCCCTTACTTCCATGGAGCATCTTCAAACACAAGCTTCCCCTGTTGTAATTCTAATTTTTATTTTTTTTTAACAAGATCTGGAGACTACTTGTAGTCTCAGTTGAGATGGAGAGGTCTAGCTCACATGGTAAGGATGACTGTAACTGAAGTGTACCCACTGAATTCTGATCACAACTCATAGCATTTGCCAGTCAGATGGTACACTATGACTCCAAGAATATGTGGTCTCTTGAGAAGGGTCCTCCCTGTCCCTTCTTGCCTACTTTTCCAGAAGGTCCCTGGCAAGGTTGAAATTTCTCCTCAGGGGCTACCCAGTGAAACTCAAGGAGCTGCTCTGCTATGTTGGGTGCTTAAGGTAAACGTCAGGCTGGAAAATCCAGGACATAGCACCCTAGAGAGTACAAAAGTTAAGCATGCTGTGTTGCAGTTTCAGGGTAGTAGTGGGAATCAATGCAGGACATACAGGTCGATACAGGGGCCAAATCCAGCACACACGTTCATAGCCATCTTTTTTTTTGTGTTGATGCGAAAGAAACCTGTCTGATTTGCAGCCCTCTACCATCCCTTTCCTAGGCACCATGCTTGCTTAGTTCCTTTGCTTTTTTTTTCCCTGCAGCAGGATTTTTTCATCCTAATCACTACCCCCATCCCTGGTAAAAGCAATGAAATTATGAGGAAGGAGTTCCATTTTGGAGTACAGATGTTTTGTTGAAACTGCAGAAATACTTTAACTCTGCATCCCATTACTGCAGAACTTGATGTATTGTATTTAGAACAGACCAGCATCCATGTAGGCAAAGGTGTTCTTTGCCTGCCTTAGCTTTCAGGAGTAAATACTGCAAAGCTTCACGTAGCAGGATCCATAGATTTGAAGATGCAGAGTAGATTCCAGGTTTAGCAGCATAACTCTGTATTAACATAATTCATCTAACAAGTCTACCCACACTCACTGTAGTTTATCTTTTGTCTGCTTTGCCTATCTCATTCAGCAATATTCTGTGGCTGTCTCAGCCAGTGGCACAGAACTGCCCACTGCAGAATAATTAGACAGAGCTGCAAACCATTCCTCTCTACCTGATCTATTTTATCATCGATGGTCAAATTTTGTCAATACAATCAGGTCAGAAAAGACCTGCAAAATCAAGTCCAACCTTTGACCTAATACCACCATGCCCGCTAATCCAAAGTACAATGTCCACTCATTTTTTGGATGGTGATTCTATCACTTTCCTGGCAGCCTCTTCCCATGCTTAATCATTCTTCTGTGATGAAATTTTTCCTGATGTCCAGCCTGAGCCTCCCCTGGTGCAGCTTGAGGCCATTTTCCCTTGTCCTGTCACTGGTTGTCTGGGAGAAGAGACTAACCCCCACATCACCACAAACTTCTTTAGATAGTTTTAAGAGTGTGATAATGTCTCCCCTGAGCCTCCTTTTCTCAAGGCTAAACAATTCTAACTCCCCCAGCTCTAAGACCTGTGCTCCAGACCCTTCCCCAGCTGCGTTGTCCTTCTCTGCAGCTCCAGCACCTCAGTGTGAGGTGAATTGAGCAGCCCAGAATTGGGCACAGTATTCAAGGGATGACCTCACCAGTGCTGAGTACAGGAGGCAATCCCTGCCCTGCTCCTGCTGGCCACACTATTGCTGATACAGGCCAGGATGCCATTGGCCTTCTTGGTCACTTGAGGACTGCTGGCTCATGTTCAGCTGCTGTCAGTCAGCACCTCCAGGTCCTTTTCCACTGGGCAGTTTTCCATCCACGCTGCCCCTGGCCTGTAGCACTGCCTGGGGTTGTGGTGACCCAAGTGCAGGATGTGGTACTTTGCCTTGTTGGACCCTCATACATATGGTCTCATCTCTTTGATCCAGTCTGTCCAGATCCCTTTGCAGAGCCTATCTGTCTCTACACTCACCTTTTTGCCATGACATCAGATGTCTGCCCTTTGGGTCTGGTGCAGAACTAGCTCTGAATAGCTTGCTTGGCATTTTCTACAGCTCCAGTGAGACAGTGGAATATTTGCTTCCATCTCTCTGTTTGACTTCGCAATACATTCTGGATTGACATATTGATTCGAGAGCATTGTTGAAGTCTTGATACGGATAAGATGCAGAAATTCTGTTCTGTGCACTGTTTTACAGATGTGCCAAACTTCTGCAAGAGGCAAGAGTTGTGAAACACAATAAGAAGTAGAATCTTTAGCATTTTTTTCAAACTCACTAAAAAAAATTCAGTATTTCCTATGATCAAAGATGCAAACCAAATATTAAATTGTGGATATGGTAAATGATGGCAGCAAAAACTGTAAACACCAGGGCTTGCAAATCAATGAATACCTGGTGCTCATGGCAAGAGGTTGCTCTGAGGGGACGTGTGGAAAAAAAGTCTCTTGCAACTCCTACCATAGGTGTAGTCACAGGCCTCTGCAGCTATCACCTAAAACAGAAACAGCAGTGCAGAACTAATCAGAGGTTTGGAATTGGAACTTGGTCAGAGTATGGAGACAAAAAGTTTCAGTAAGAGGAGTGGTGATGGCTCACATATAGTCTTCCTGCAGTTGCTGCGGAGTAGATGGGAGATTAATTAACCTGGTAGTATCATTATCATTTACAGGAAAAAAATGATTTCTGAGATTGCACCTGAGCCTAGAACAGAACTCACCATCACAGTTTCCTGTCAAAGGCTTTTTCTTCATATGCATTAAAAAAAATTACCAGAAACAATATACTATAGTTTGTGAAGTATAGTATGTGTATGTAGATGTGTGTATGTATTTATACATAAATAAAAAACCTTTATCATATAATGTATCAGTAGGATTCACATTAATAAGATATAAACTAAAGCCACACAAATAACATTCAAGTATTCTTCACAGCAGGAATATTCAAGTAATGAGCATATATAATACTTATAACTGAATCATCTAAAGCAATATATTCTTCTCAAGGTGTGTGTATAAAGCATAGCACTCTGATTTTTGAAGTCTGCTCAATGAGTTTCACCACTCTAAACAGGAATTCCACAAAGAAAAGCTAGCATGAATAGAAAGCAGATGGAAACCAAAGCACAATCTTACATAAATAAATGATGGTTAATGACTTGCCAGTCTCATACAGTGCTTACATGTTTTCAGCATGACTGTAGAGTCTGATAGAAGCTGCTCTGATGACACACAAAGCTGTGTCAGTGTGCCAGCTCAGCCTGAGATAGTCTCAAGTGGGACAGATATAGGTGGATTCCATTCCAGGGTCTCTTTATCTCAGGCTTCCTTCTGGATATGCTCTGCTAGTGTTGGGTTAGTCACTGTGCTGAGCATAGGTGACTAACTGCCTCTTGGCAGCCCGTGACAGATTCTTTGTCTTCTCCACCCTGGGCCAGCCATGGCCTTTTGCTCAAATCCATCTCCCCTTTCCATTCCCAAATCTCAGTTCCTAGATTTTTGATGGATTTCAGGTTCAAGTGTGCTCATCATGGGGCTGGAGGCACATGGACATTAAGTTCATGGCCGGCCAGAGCGAGGGCTTGTGTTGGTGGCACTATGAAGTTTCCCCCACTGGAGACCTACTGCTGTAAAGTCATGTCCAGACTTGGAAATCCCCTTCTCCCTGCTCCCACCTGCCAGGATGTAGGAAGTGGGGAACATGGCCTGACATCCCAAGGGCATTTCCCAGGAGCTGAGGGGATCCCCTTGGGAAGGGGCTGAATCTGGGACTGACCTGGCTGGATCAAGGTGACTCTCTGCCTCACTGCTCCTGCAAATCAGGCTCTATCAGGGAGAGAACAAATTCCAGTGATCCACAGCAGGCCTGTGCCTGGAGCTTAGTGGCAGTATGGGGAGCCAGACACCCTTTTGCAGCCCTCTCCCTGGTCTTGTCATTTAATTGCATCGACATACCTGCTGCATCTGATGGTCTCTGAGAAACATTAAATATTGCCGAGTGCTGAGACTTAATCTGATGAGCAGCCACAGAGAAGTGGCCACTCAGTTTGTCCAACAGGTTGCCCCTCTGTTTTAGAGTACCTGGAAATCAGTGAGGAAACTTCTGTCAAATGCCACAGGCTTTGTATCCACCTTGTTGTGCATCTCTGCAAGTGTTGCTTGTTGTGATATTTCTGTTTGTCTCAAAAGTTATTTCTCTTTGCAGTGTGATGTCTTGGATCAGAATTTGTTAAACTTCCTCCCAGAACAAGAGCACTCAGAAATTTATAAGATGTTATCTTCTTGTATGCTTATGACAGATTCTGCCTCATCAGATTACCTAAAAAGTAAGTTTAATTTTATCTTCTCTAGTAAATGAAAAAGCATGGGCAGGATAAAAAAATTTTCTCCCAGAAAGAGAGATGTGAAATACGTGATGTGAAATAAAAAATTAGGTTCATAGCCTTTTAAAAAGATCTTGCCACCTGGAATGACCCTTTGGTTCTATTTTTAAATGAAACTCTTTGCCTTTATTTTACTAGGCTAAGACTACTTGCAGTTATGTTAATTATTAAATATCATATCATTTGAGACAGCTAAGGAAAATAGGTTAGCCGATGGAAATTGAGAGTTCGCCTGAGACAAATCACATCTTAATTGATATTTCAGCCTGTTCAAGTAAGATGTTGTTCAGAGATAAGCTAATGTGGTGTACCTTTGGTTTGCCTTACAGTCAAAAATACCTCTAATTCTTTTTCCAATTGAATTTTGTTTTTCTTAAAAATGTTTTTACTTCCTCGGCCTTACTCAGTCTAGGAGGTAAGATGTAGAAAACCAGAAAATACAGGATCATGTAGGATGTACAGCTGCTCAATCTACTGTATCATACAAAACCTGCAGCTGATAGCTAATACACCAAAGTGAATTTAATATTTTCAGGTAATTAAGCAGAGTTTTCCAACACGAGATGTAGAACAGCTGTCAGTTGTGAGGAGCCTAAACAGAAAAAAGCAGTAAGTGAAGGACCCAGTTTTCTCTGTTGCTGCACGAGGCTGTGGCTGTGTAACTCCTGTGATGAGGTTAATCTCCGAGGCTGTCCCTGAGCTGCAGGCTCACCTGTGCACAGCTCTGAGCAACCTGCATCCCTGCAAGGCCCTTCTTGCAGAGGCTCTGGTCCTGCAGTGTGTTTAGGTCCTGCAAAGCACATTGGTGTTTAGGACTCCTGAGTGGTAACAAGCTGCTCTTGTGCCACCAGATGCAAGATTGGGGTTGGAAGACACCGTTGGTTGTGTTTAGCTTAAATAGTATATTTATTTCTTCTTCTTCTTCTTTTAACAATCCAGCTGACAATGAACTAGAGTTTTATTGTCATCTTCTGAGAGGAAGTTTGAACCCAAAGGAATTTCCAACATATGAATACATAAAATTTGTAGGAAATTTTCGGTCTTACAGCAATGGTAAGCTTTAATTGTTGTATAAATGTTACTTTAGCTGTGTAAAATAAAATATAAGTATTGCTCCATTGAAAAAGACAGGCTTTTAACTGACAGAACTATTTTTAACATTACGGGATAAATTTTGCTTCACACGGATCTCATGGCTGAGTTGCAATAGCTGGATGAGTACATGTGATGAGTGAAATTGTGTTAGTTGCTTTTGTTACTGCCCTTCACTTCCAGTGATCCTGGACTCTGGGTAAGTTTGCAAATAATGACAGGTTTAGAGGAGGGTTTATTTGTGCTCACTAATACTGTGTGCTAAGACCCCACCTATTAGCAAAATTATAACCTTGCTACCTTATCTGCTGGTTTACATTAAACACAAATTCCATGCCAGAACTGATAACCTATCAAATCTGTCTTCTCACCCTTCTCTGCAAAATCCTGGGGAAAGGCGGCAGTGCCACGTGGCATCAGAACGGCTGAGGACACTGCCACCCACCTCCCTCTCCAGCTGCCATTTTGCATTCCTCTCCAGCACTGCAGAACCCAATACTCTCCAAAAAAAAAAAAAAAAAAAGAGGGAAGAAATGCAGTCAGCATAGTCACCAATGTGCCACAGTCAGTCCAGGAAAACTATCTTTCAAGGGATGAAGAGCAGATTTCCACCTCACCCGTTCTCTAACAAACAGATTGTTGCACAGCCATTAGTGTCAGAAATGAAATACTCTTTTATTACTTTCCTTCTCCTGCCTGCCCAAGTTTGCTTTAGTTACTTGCCTGACTGAACTCCAGAGTGGCATTTCCAAAGTTGCTGGTATTGTTCCAAATAGGTCATCCTCTGCAAAAAAATTCCCCACCGTGCTTTCCAAAAACTGCACGCCACGCTGTGAAAAAAAATGTCCCTGTCCCCATTTAACTTTCTGCTTTTGCTCCACATGACTAGAATAGAAACCTACGTGCAGGATGGAGATATGTATTTCTTGTTTGCTGCCATCTGATTTGAGGCTCTATTTGTATAAAAAGATGTAGCTGCCTGTATGCTTTCTAGTTTGAATGAAGTGAAATGCTCCTGCCTGACAGACGTGCACACCAAGCTGTTCTGTTTTCTAGAGCAGAAACCAGATTTCAGGTGCTGACTCATAAGGATACATTTCTACCAGGGGAATTTCTGATCCATTTTCTTCAAGGATTTTCAGCTCTTTATTTTGGCTTGACATTAATACTGCCCCCTTACCCGTTAGGATTTCACATCCCAGCAATTTTATCTGTGGCTATTTCTCAGAAGAATGATAAAACTTTACATTACAGATACATTCCCTAGCTTAATGCATAGAAACTAAATGGGAACATATTGATTTCAGAAGACACCAAATTATTTTCCAAAGACCCCATCTTAATAGCTTTCAAGCAAATCATGTGCTTTCTTCTTCACATTTTTTCCCCCTTTGTGCCACTTTTTTCTAAATCTTCCACTTCATTTTGTCTCTTCCACTTTCTTCTCACCTCTGCTACAGTCTGACCCTCGGGTTGACAGGGAGGGGTCACCTTAGCCTGGCTCTTTGAGATGGTGCCTCCTGGCCCCCTTGCCATCTGACTTTAGTTTCACCAGCTCAGTGCAGAGCCTGATGGAGATGCTTCACCAGTGCAATGTCCATCTCTGCTCCCCTTTGGCTGGGAGTCACCCCCATGGCTGCCTCCCAGCAAAGGTGGAAGCAAGTGCACTGGACTCGCATGTAGCAGCTGCAAACTGCTTGCTTGAGATCTGATACCTTTGGCTCACAGGGTGAGCAGCCAGAGGAGGGTGCAGACCTCTGAAGAGCCTGTCCTTGGATCCACTGGGCTCCTTGTGCCAGCCAGCTGCACCCTGAGCAAGGCACAGGAGAATCAGCTCAAGTGAGCACCATAAAAGAAGGCTCCACCCTTTGAGGAAGCCACCCAAGGGCTGTCAGCAAGCAGCTGTGCTTTGGCACAGAGACTTGTGGCACAAACAACTTCGAGCATCTGGTGGGTGCAGTGGTGGGCTGGCTTCCTACCTCTGTTTGTCCCACAGTTATTAGGCACCATCCCCCAGCCCATGATCCTCAGGGCTATCACCTGTTGGACCTGACAGTAATTGCCCTCTTTTCCTCCTGTTAAATAAATACCCATTCTCCAGTCGTCTATCCTCCAGGTGTGAGGCCAAGTGGGCAAGAAAGAAGGCGATGGGAAGGGTGGTAGGAGAGACACATATCACTCAGGGCAGCATTTGTCCTACTTGCATAGGATCAGCTGGCCCCAAAGCCAGCTTTTTGGAGGTGTTTGTGAAGAAAGGATTCTAAGCTAAAGTAAAGAGTTAGCTGGGGGAGAAAGACAGAAATTGCAAATTAGGCTTAATTAGCAGGAGACATTCCTTATGAATGTATTGAATAATGTTTTTCCCTGTAGCTTTTCACAGCAGTGGAAGTGCGAGCATGTTTTTACACATGGGAGACTGATACAGGATGTTCTTTAAATACAAATCCTGCCGTTCCTTTTTAGCCACCCAATGCCAACTCCTACCTTTATTTCCAATGGTTTGCTGAGCATACTCTGAGCCCACTCTGCCTCCGTGTTCCTGCCACAGGGATGCCAGAGCCTCTATGGCCAGGAAAGTTCTTTTATCCCTGGGCAGGTTACATCCTATCAGGATGCTTAGCTATTCTATTGTCATTAATGTAGAGTCATAACAGCAGCAGCCCGAGCAAATCTGTCTCCATTCCTTCTCATTTAACCTTTGCTGATGTTTTTAAGAACTGGTAGGTCCTTCTTCACCCTCTTTAACAGAAATGTCACTATCTTTTTTCTACTTCCACATAACCTTTTATGTAACCTCCTTTGAATTACCATCTCCTTAGGCTTATTTTTCCTCAGTGTTGGTGCTTGGGGCAAGGACATCATGCATGTGGGCTCCCAGTTACCTTGCCCCCCTCCCTCCTCCTTCATACCTTCTCTGTTACTTGTGGCTGAGAACATCATATAGGGATGGGTTTGAATGGATTAATTTGAAGGATTGTGGCTTAGAAAGCCAGTTAGGGGCTTAACTGCTGTCCCTAACTTTCATGGGAGCTCTGGGGCTTTAAAGGCTGTTGTATTGAGATGCCAAAGATAATTTCTTTCATGATGAAGGAGAACAAATACCTGATATCTGCCAAGGTGACTTGTCACCAGAATTGCTGTCAGGGAGCCAGATCACACACAATCTACATCGAACCCATGCTACTCCCACAGAGGAGCAGTCACTGGCGTCTTTGCTGATCCCAGAAGAGGCAGGGACATGCATGTACAGGGCTCAGAAATTGCCCAGGAAAGCTCTCACAGTTCACAGCAGGTCTTCAGTCTTTCAGGAGGTCACTGTCCCTGGAGCTCCTGGGATCAGCTATAGCTGTGGGCTAGAGGAGCTGCCCAGCCCAGTGCCAGGGTTAGCAAGAGCATGCACTCAGGACTGGTCCTGAGGAATCTGTACTCTGCAAGCCCTACTGCAGAACATTTCTGCAGCTATATCTGCACCAGGGATGTGACATGAGCTGCCTGCACATGGTGAATCCCTATTGCATTGGCTGTGCCCAAGCGAGAGCAGCTGACCAGCGAAACAGCAAGGCAGGCTGTGCAGAGTGCCTGCATGAGTCACTGGCTGTGCTATATCAAATACAGGAGATTTGATTTTCCATTTGGGAGGATTATATAATCATCATTAATTAAGCTTCAATGAGAAAAGCGGGACTGTAACCTGATGTGAAGATTCAGTAGTCCCGTGAGAGGAAAGGAGGTGGCCCGTGGGCCATTTGGATGAGGAAGGTGGAGTTCCTTTTTGCTTCTGTGAGAAATGCCTACTTGCTATCAGATCATCAGGGTTGTTTTTGTTTTATTTGCAAATAGGAACTCTTTGTAGTATTTTTATATATTTCAGGTTCTGGGTCTGTAGCCCAGATTTTAACGAGAGACATGAATGCCTGCAAACATGTGAGGGAGCCAAGTGCATCACTGTACCTATTTACCAATGGTACCTGATAAGATAGAGTCATATCAGTATCACCAATGAATAATACAGTGGCTCACACCCAGTTTTGCCTGAGAGCTGAGGGGGAGGGCAAATAATAAAGGTAACCCTCCTCAAAAATCCAAGGAAATGCTCAGCTCCCAGTGTAAAATGTCAAATCGAGTGAGAATAAATTATTTTACAAAGCTGCTTAATAGCTCACTCTGTTAAGAAATGATAAGATGGGCTGGATTTATCCCTCCTGTGAAAATTGTTTGTACGTTTGTGAACAAAGATCTTTCATAATTATATATCCAAATATTGGCTCTGGTATCCTTTTTCTGAAGTGAAACCCTTGCTTAAAAACTCCTGAAAGGGACAAAACCAGAGTTCTCCCTTTCAAAGAGTTAACCAATATTAAAAAGGACCACCAGCATCTTTTAAGTGATAGATCTATCCTTTCATCCAAAATGCCTGAAGCTTTTCTCTTGAAGAAGATAAGCATTATGTGAAAAGAGTTCCTAATCAAGTAATATAATATTATAGTGGAATTTAAAATTGTGCATTTTTGTTCCCAATTACATGGAAACTCAGGAAGTATCTGGTTACTGAATGCTAATAATAGCAGATACTCTACTGTTAGCTGATACATCTCTCAGATATAATAATAAACATCAAGGAAATTACTATGTTGAGGAGAAAAAAAAGTCTTAACTTTCAGAAAAATTAATTGCATCTGAATTCATTTTTAAAAGAAAGAAACAGTTTATACAGAAGATACATTGATCTGGAGCATCCATAAGTATATGCTGAAATATCTGAAACAAGAATAAACTCAATCCAAAATGAATGTTTTGATCAGAACCAACAGCTGCATATTATTCGCTATTAACAATATCATAGAAGCTGCAGGTAACAATATGCAGCACTCATGCTAGGCTCTCTATGCAAAGAAAAGCCACCATTCCTGTCTAAAGAATCTACTTGGGATTCATATCAACACAGGATGGCCAGGGGAGAAACAGGAGAAGGAAGGAGGAGAGGGCAGATCAAAGTGGGCAGGTGATGTATGGATACTGTCTGTCACTGTTACTCATCTACGCAGCTACTGAGACCAGTCTGGCTCGCCACCAGCACTTTAGATTTCATCATTAAATCTATTAATTGCCAAATACTCTGTTTATCTGAGGCCTGAATTAATTTATATCAAACAATTTTGATTTTATTCTGGTCTGTTTGGCTCATGTTTTTGAAATCACTGTTCAGTTTGTTTGACAGTCACTAAGACTGGTTCTTTAAACATTAACATCTCCTGACAAAGTAGGAAGGAGGGATTTCTTCTTTCAAATGGCATAAGCAGGAGGTTTGCTATCTTAGGAAGATTATGTTTTACACATTCCAAGTTGAAGTATGATGACCGAGCAACTGACTGCTGTACTATTATTAACTGAATAAAGTGGCATCTGGGGTTTTTTAAACCTGTTTTCATTCATTTCATGTGGCATCATTTCTCTCCCTAAGGATAAAAATCCTTTTGTCTGTGATAGTGAAGGGCTTGGTTCCTTCTGTATATTTTTTATTTGTAACATTCTGTCCCTAGTGTTCTGGTCTTTAAAAAAGAAAAAAATAGAAAAACTAAAGAAAAATCAAACAAAGATCTCTATATAAGTAAATCAGTTTCTTTGTATCATATGAGATATTTGCAGGTATTTAATACTCCTACAAAAGACTTTTGTGCTACTCTAGGAGTAGCAGGTGTGATAGGTAACCACAAAAACTATTGAAATTCACACTGAGGAGCATCAGCTAGCTGATACATATGAGACAACTGTTTCACCTTTCTGATTATGTATTTAGCTTTGTCACATGGTCTTCTGATTCTTTACTCAAGATATTTTGTCTCGATCATTTAATTGTAAAACACACAGGCCTTCATTTACCCAAGCCCACATGGTTATGGCCAGCCTAACATTTTCATTAGGCATCTTCTTACAAAAGCACTCCAAGCCCTATATTTGACTTATAAATGTTAATATCACCATAGCCTCAGGCTTGATCCTATATTTTCTATTCCACCGTTTTTCTGTGGTGGTCTCAGAAAGTTCAGCCAAGTACTGAACTTGGCTACCTCTAGATGTTGTGTTTCTTTTAAAGGGACTTGGAGAGTCATAAAGTATGATTTTTCAACAGGCTTTTTTAAAAGCTTATATCAGGATTGTATTTTTTTTTTACATTCATCCAATGAGCTCTTTTTTTAACTACACTTCAAAATTCATCAACCAAAAAAGGTTGAAATTCACTGACCAGCTGCAAAAGTAGAGCAAAGCAGGCTGTGCAGGTAGCACTGTGGAAAGAAAAGATACCAACAACCTAAGTCAGGCAGCAAAATAATTCAGAAGCAAATGTGAGTGGTTTTTTTCTTTCAGTTATTATAGTTGTCTTTTTCAGATGGAGATGTATTTGACAATGTAGTGGCTACCTGCCTGCATCATTGAGGCTTTTAATGCTCTGGACTTCGTCAAAGGCAGCTGAGTATGAGATGGCACAGTAGCTGTTCAAAGACAGGATAACATCCAGCCAGGCCAGCTCTGTCTCATCTCTTTGGGCTTATTCATTCACTTCCAAATGTTGTGAAGAAATCCCAAATTACTGCCTAGCTGTCCTGCACAATAATTATTACCCTCTTACTACTGCATTTACCTGTTGGAAATGTAATCTAGTTTGTAAATGCCACATTCAGGGATCTATTCTGCTGTCTTCTGGGAATATGTCTCAGGCTTGTGGCTGTTTACATCCAACAGCTGACATAAAAAAGCCATCTGCTCTCTTTAGTGTGACTCAGTCTCCACTTCCTTCTACAACTGGTGTCATTTGCAAGCCCATTGTTCGCTAATGAGGTTAACTTATCGTACCTGTGTTTCTGAGGCTGAATGTGCTTCTCTTATTTTCATATCTTAGAGCCCAGACTGCTAGAATTTGCTACTGAACTTGGCTATTACAGAGAGTAACAGCCTCACTAACTTCAAATGTCACAACATACTACATAGCAGGTTTGGAAGTAACTTTTCACAATGTCCGTAATGCAGATTTATAGCATTCCCATTAATTTCTAAATGGAACCAACTACAGAAATCAACAGACTTGCACTAAATAATAATATCAGAGATGGACCAGTAAGTCTTTACTTAGGCTACTCGTGTGTCCTCTAGAACTTAGCTCTTCTTTTTTTCAACTTTTTGTGTTAATAATCATATAGAAGCCCATATATATACACATAACTTCAGGATCAGAATGGGAATACGTATTCCCAGGGAGTCCCAAGAGCACGTGTGCTCTGCTGGTGAAAGGAGGAGAATTTTGCCCATATTTTTTATATCTATATCCAATCAGTCATGCCTTCCAGTCTCAGCTATGAGAGAAGATGTGATGTGCATGTTCATGTCTGTACTGTCTTCTCAGATAAAGAACCTTTCTTTTCTTTTTTGGTGTAATATATATTGTACACATAGTGGCCTAAACCACTTAATCACAGGTGTGAATTCCACTCAGCATACTTTCTTTTCTGTCTCATACCCTGTTATCCTTGTCACCACTAATGCATCAATATTCTAAGGCTTTTAATTGGTTGAATTGGGTTCCAAAAGCACATGTGATCACTTGAGACTTCTTCCATCTCTGCAATTTGTGGTAGTGAATGAAATCCCATTGCAGAAGCACCCCAGGATAAAAATGGCTAGTTATGCTCTCCCCAGATAGATACAAAACTCTTCAATTTCACAGTAATGCTTTGCCCTGTGCAGAAGAGCCAAACTGTCAGAAACTTTATGAAGGTGGATATAGGGGCCTAATAGTAAGGAGAGAGAGTTTCATATTAGTATTAATCCCTATTAGCATTAAATTAGCTCATGTTGGTGAACTTTGGCTGCTAGACAGGACCTTCTCTGACCCCATGGGAGAAAGTTGGATAGGCAGGGCAGGAATCCATCCTAGTTCCCACTGTGCAGTCTGGCACACCTTTTTCTTTCATAGCTATGGGAGTGGGATTACCATCTCTAAACAGCTTGAACTTGGAGGAATAATTTGCATTATGTCATTCTAACATGGGACTGTGGGCTAGTTTACAGCTACACATCCTTTTGGCAATGTATCTCTGTGGCAGGAGGTGCTAGGGGGGCGCTCAAAGCAGCTGGAGCCATGCAATCATGAAAGACACACGGAAAAAGCACACACAGAATATGTAGCCACATCACATCCAGTTTTTCCCTCTGCCCAGTGTTGGGGACAGCAGGCCATTTGCAGAAGTGCCCATCTCTGGACGCCAGTGCCATACATGGGGTCTCTTTTCCTCTTCTTTAAAACAAGGACAACTTGAGCACACTGGGGACAGTTCTTTGGAAGCAGAAGGGGAAGGCATTCTGCAGCAGCCAAGAATCACAAGCATCCTCTTGCTAGTTTGATGAAGCCTCGCTGGCTGTGGGCCCCGGTGTTTTGCCACTGATGACTTGACGAACTCTCTTCAGCTACCTCCTTTGCCAACACTTTTTTTCACTGCATCATGGAAGTTACAACGCTAGGCATGCTGCAGCATTTTTTTTCTTTTTCTTGTGAGTGGTGAAAAAGAGCAATTGGATGCGTGGCGTTTCCAGAAAACTGGTTTATGCTCTGTAATAAGGGTTGGCCTTATTTTTATCAGGATTAACCTGTAAAATTCATAGTTGAAGTTAAGCTCTGATGCCTTTCTGCCTAACATGACTGACTTGGATTTAAATATATGCATATCAGCTTTAAAGCTTTTAGAACACTTCTCTGAATAAAAATAGTGTTAGTACACTTGGAGTGTGCAAAATATTCAGGGAAAGGAAATATTATATGAGGCATGACTCCAGGTCCCATTTTTTTCCCTGAACTAGTGCCTAACTCCACTTGCAATGGCTTTGATGAGGCTGTCCCAAGGGCTTACAGAACATCCCCGGGAAAGCAAATCTGCTTTGTTGCGACTGTTCGTTTGGCCACGCCTCAGTTTTTAAAGGTAAGTGCTCACCCTGGGTCCCTTGCACTTCAGAACTTCTCAAAACACTTTCATATGGGGTGACACAGAAGGTTCTTAGTTTTGCTAATTGAATGGATTACAGATATCACATTTCATGCATAAAAATCCAGTGAAGAGGATTATCAGTGCAAGCCAGGATCTGTGGAAGCAGTGTCACTTCTGCCCCCATTGCACAGGATACAGAAACCCTCCTTGCAATAGAAATTTCAAAGTTGCCTGGAAATTTGGTTGCTCATTGCTGCTTTCTGTTTCTTCGATGGGACAATGTACAAAGGTCTCAAAAGTCTTTTTCAGCCTAGTTAATTCTGTGATTTTGTGATACAGATGACCACCAACACTTTGATTTGTGCTCCTCAGCATCTTTGGTGGACTACTGCTTGTTTCCCTTCTCGCAAATCCTGGAAGTAAGATAGCTGCTTGTGGTTATAAGGGTGGACAAACCAAGCTTGTGCCTAACACTGCTGTTCCCTCATAAACAAATGTGAACTATTGCATCAGGTGTCCTATGCCCAGAGTTTAAGAGGTTTTTTTGTGTAATTAAGATGTGACCAATATGAAATCACTGCTCTCTTGGCCTGGTTCCATTACTGCTCTGGAACTTGCAGGGCATTCTAGACTGATTCCTGACCCTGCAGGCAAGTTGAGTCCCTTCTGGGTAAGTGAGGACACTTCCCATGAATCTTAACCATAATAATCATATTAACAGAAGGGCTGGAGTTAAAGGTTCTCTGAGAGCCCTAAAAGCAAATTCCCTTGTTTTTAGGTAGCTGGCATCTCAAACTAAACAGGGAAACAAAATTATCTACTCGTGGCAATGAGCTGCCCAGTGCTAGGGAGGAAGCAGCTGCTGAACAGCTCAGAGAAGATTTTAACTGCCACAAAGTCCTGAACACACATTTCTTCAGTTCACCTAACTCTCACTCTTGACTTCCTACTGTAAAATGAATGTAAAATGTTTATTTGACCAGCTAAGGAAGACAGAATCAGCAGTTTGATTGCACACAGCAGTGTTTACACATTGAATTTTAGTGTATGTTCTTGGCATCAACGTGGATTTTGGCCTAAACTGGAGAGAGGGGGAGAGAGGAATTCAATGTGTTTATGAAGCCTTTTGCCTCTGCACAGCTAGAGACTTCCATCAGCATTGATAGGTATCAAAGAATTGCTTGATGGCAGCACACTTCAGCTGCTTCTCTGGTCCCAACAGGGTTTAAAACAAATAAAAGTTGTCTCCTCTGCCTGAGGGACAGCAAAAGAGAGAAGCAGTAATGGAAATGATGGGAAGGTGCCAGTGAGCCCACAGCATGGGGGGATGTGGCATCAGGGAGCAGGAGAATAGCAGCAGTGGGGGCCAGTGGGCAGGCTGTCCTTACCAGTGAGGATGGAGACCCTCCTGCAGGAGAGACCCGAAGGATACCAGAACCCTGGATGCCACAAATCCAGAATGCTGATGCTAGGAAGTCCCAGGCCAGGAGCCTCCAGGCTGACTCTAGGCAGCTGGTGGAGCTGCAGCTGCCCCTGCAAAGCACTCAGTGAGAGAGGAGAGGTTGGCAGAGGAGAGCTTGGAGTGGACAGTGAGGTGGCCATAGGGCGTGCAGTCAGCCCCAGCCCATGCATGGGTGTTCACTGTGCTGACATCCTTCCCTCTACTTCCCAACTCCACCCAGCAAGTGACCACCACTGACTGCCTCCTCATCCTCATCTCTCTGGGACAAGGCTGTCCTGCCTCACAGACAGCCCTGTGCCCTGCCTCAATAACTCACTTATTAATTATTGTCCTCGTGAGCACTGAGGGCTGCTGTCAGTCTTAAGGGCCAGCTTGTTTGCTGTGGCAGTGAAGTGCAAGGCAACACTGACCCCTTTTACCCATTGGACAGATCCCATGCAGGCTGGCTGCATGAAAAGGCATTTATTTACTCCTCTGCAGCTACTGAGGGAGAAGGAAAGTGTCCCCATTTCTCAGAGAGCTTGGAGGGCAGACATCCAAAAGGACCAAGGGTGGTGGGTATCTTTAGTAACACAGAGGGAGTGAAGCAAGACGTGGCAAGCCCTGGTGGGATCAGGCACAGGCTGGATGCTGGGAAAGCCCACGGCCATCACACCCCAGGCACAGCTTCAAAGCCAAAAAAGTTTTGGCACCCTGAGGCACAGTCTCAGCTCTTAAGTACGTGTGCATTACAAGTTCTTCTCCCTATCTTCCATAAAAAAACTGTTGGCATTGATAAATACAATAGTTTGTTCTCTGGAATGACCAGAAAATGGGTGAATCCTCTGTTTTCTCCTCTTATGCACTATGTATTTATAGCCAGCAGAAGCTAGACGAAGCAAAGGGGCAAAGCTCCAACTCTCAGTAAGTCAATTTTCTCCATTGGACAGGAGATGTGCATCGTAGAAGAACCTCTAGAGGAATTCACATCAAGACACAGTCTGGAGTGGAAATTTTTATTCCTGGATCACAGGTTGGTGACAAGAAAAGCCCTGCTGGTTGTGTTTGGTGCTTTGCTACTACTATTTCACAAGAACAGTTTTCTCAAGTAGTGTTCCATTTCACATCTAAATCATGAACAGGAGGGCTGCCACCGAAATTCCTACAAAAGCTGATGCTTACTATTTTACATTTATTTTTATTGGGCCTTTAAAACAAAAGGACTCTGTTTCTTCAGCTGAATTTGTGATTAGCTTGTTCTTCCTTTAAAATTTTCAACAGACTAAAGTCTGTCACATGGCAAAATGATCTAATTATTATACAGCTGCAGAAATCCTTCTTTCCAAATCCAGTCATTGATTGCGTGTGTGCAATTCCCACTGAGTTATGGAGGGAAAGTCTATGCTGGCCTGAGGCATCTGTGCTGGCAAAGGTACAAAGCAAGTGCCTCAGCATGCCACAGATGAGCTCTCCAGGCACCCAGAGGAAAGCAGCACAGATGATTTCCTCTCTTATCCCCCCGGTCCCAGAAGATGATGGCTTCCAAACACCTCCCCACACATTTTCCCCTGTATAAGGGCTGCAGGAGCCATCGAAGAGCCCCTGACCAAGCAGCAGCCAGGGAACAGCTCCCTCACAGCAGATTGCTGTGTAAAGGTCCCTGAGAAGCTGCTTTCCACAAGCACATTTTCCCTGAAGAAGGGGTGTTGTCATAGTCTTGTCTTGGTGGGATGGTGCCTGCTGGTATTGCTGTGCCCAGCTGGGTGTCCCAGGCTCAAGGTGGGGGAGAGTCAGGATCCAGCCCCCTGAGATGAACAACTATACACTGATAAGTGAATGTAGATCTGGGCTGTTTGCATCTCTGCATCAACATGCAGAACTGCTTGTTCTGTGTTTTATGGACTCCTGTTGTGCCCAACCGCAGAGCACCGCCGATTATCGGGTATTTGCCTTTTGAAGTGCTGGGTACTTCTGGCTACGACTATTACCACATAGATGACCTAGAGCTGCTAGCAAGGTGCCATGAACACTGTAAGTATCACATGGCCCAGGTTCCTGGGAAATCACTGGGACACCTCAGCAAAATGTGGTTTGGAAGGGGAGGTTTGACTCTTGCCTCAGCCTGTGTATCTTAGCAGAGCTGTAGCAGACTGTGGGCACTGCAGCTGATTGGCATCTGGAACAGACTTACCAAGCTCTGAAAAATAAATTTTATCTTCTGTATCCCCAAAAGTGGTCAGTGAGACTCACTGAATAGATAAAATATGCCAGATTTGACCCCTGTTCTATTAGTAAAGAACATGCAGAAATAGTTCAAGCAATTCTTGTGGATTATTTCCCCTAATGTTGTTCACTGTGTATTTGGGATTAGCTGTGATTATTTAAATACGGTCTATTAGGCTTTAATTGAAAAACTAAGTAAAGAAAATAAGGCAATGCTTTTCAAATGTTTGCTTACAGAACTGGCTGTAACATCTCAGCTTACCTCCTCTGCCTGTCTTGAAAGTATCCTGTCAACATAACTTTTTATATGTTGACATTGAAATATAGAAAGGCTAAATATGTGGATGGTTGGGAACCCCTTGAAATCACCAGGGGAAAAAAGCAGAGATTAATTTGGTTGGTGAATCTTTAAAAGCTTCAATACACCCTGGTTTACTGCAGTTTGAATTCTTGTCAGTCTGGGAATTTTCTTTCAAATTATTTTTGTCTTTGCACAGTGTTATCTCCTATGCTTACCTCATTCTAAAACCATCTGCACACAATACTCATCTTTTCAAGTATTTTTATCCTGTACTTTTCTGGTCTAGAACTTAAGATGATCACTCCTAGAAAATAATCCCAGGTGTCTAATTAAGTATGTGATCAGCACATAAAGCAGGGTAAGAACTATGTTTAAATTGTAGCAGACGCTAATTCATTAGTGTCCAAACTTAAGGTTAATTGTACTGTGTAGGAATGTACGATCCAAAGTGTCAGAAGAAGATACCTACTAATCATTATGATTTTTGTTCTGTCAGAAGGCTGAGAGGAGCACTTACTCAAAATTGGTGCTTATACTCCTGTCTACCTATGACAGATATTTTTGTCACTTTTTTTCACATTTCATGTCATTCTCATGTGGGAAATTGTGCTACAAGCTGTGTGTATTTTCTGCTGGCAGTGATGCAGTTCGGCAAGGGGAAGTCGTGCTGCTATCGGTTTCTGACCAAAGGACAGCAGTGGATCTGGCTCCAGACCCATTACTACATCACCTACCACCAGTGGAACTCCAAGCCAGAGTTCATTGTGTGCACACACATGGTGGTAAGGTATGGAAAATCCTATCAACCGGCTGGGACATAAGGGACCGAAAGATGGGAGCATCCTCATATCTGCCAGCATTTTCTTTTAAAAATATAACATCATTTACATAACAAAAAATTAAGCCTGCACTTTCTGAAGGAAATAGGATAATTATAGAAAAATTATCAGACTGAACCTTAGTTTACGTTAAGCTTAATTTTTTTTTTTTTTTTTTAGTTTAGGGGCAAAAAACTATGGCATTTTTCCATTTTGTGCAAAAGCCGAGAATAGACAGATCCCTTAAATATTCACTTCCTCTAATCCTTACATTGTTTTTAAAGAGATGTATAGAAGCATCCCAGTGAAGTCATAACGTGGTTGTAGGACGTGAACTTGACCTTTTTATATAGTTCTTAAATATGCAGCTTGACTTCAAGAAGATGGGAACAGAGCAAGACGTGAAAATTTCAAATGTTATTCAGTAGCATTTGACTTAAGTCACTTTTCAGCTGTTCATTTCACCTGTAAAATGTACAGCAATTTGTTCCTCCACTCTCTTAAAGTACATTTTAAGAAATATAGCAGTTCCATCTTGATACATAGAATGATGTTTTCCATTCAGTTATGCAGATGTTCGGGTGGAGAGGAGACAGGAGATGGGCTTGGAAGAAGTGTCCTCAGAGGTTGTGTCCTCAGCACTAAAGGTACAATGAGAAAAGCATTTTTCATGAATTTATGTAGTAATCACAACTTATTCCTATGTTAACATCACCAAAGACTCCAGAATTGTATTTCTCCAGTGTTGGTGGATTCTCTCAACTGCAGAACTCATTGCTCACTTGAATAATTTTCACATAAATTAGGTGAGTTTATGAAAGGATAAACCTGGAGATCAGTAACAGCCACAAATGAAGTGGAACACGGTCACGGGCAGTGTGAGATATCTCTACTTTTCCTTGGCAAGGTACCGCAGTTTAAAGATTCATTTGGACAAGTTCTGGCAATCAGCCCTCTTGGCTACATCTCAGTGATCTCTTGAGGAGAGACAGCAAAGCTCATCCTCAGTGCATGGCTGAGTGTCTCACAGAGGTTGCAGATACTGTCACATCCAACTGAACACAAAAGAAAGATTCCAAAAAACATCTGAAGGCACAAAGTGACTATGGCAGTAACTTGCTATTTATTTCTAACTCACTTGTTTATAAAATGCATTAGTTTGATGCTGTTTGGAACACTGATGTCTTTGTCCAAGTCTTCTGCTGGCCTACCTGAGATTAGCTCTGCTCAAGTCATTTTATGTCTGCCAAAGAACTGGTGTGCAACCATTACTAAATTTCAAAATGCTTTATCTCTGACAGATGCAATAGCTGTTCTCCTTTTCTGATTTGTTTTAGGACAGTGGCGCCAGCTTGGATCCTGAACAGCACTTTAATGCACTTGATATTGGTGCCTCAATCCTCAGTGCTAGTCGGACACCCTCAGTGTCATCCAGGAGCTCTCCAAAATCTTCCCACACACCCAAGTCAGACCCAGCATGTGAGTGGCATTCCTGAGTTATGGCATTGTTTTTAATTTTGCCAAGTTAAAGAATGTGTGCTTATATACCACAGCTGCTAATTTAACAGTAAATTGTGAGGTATTGATGATATGCACTGACAAAGAAGTGCAAAAGCCGAAATGGTAATATATAGGAGGGAAGGTTCTAGGACAACCACCTAAATGCTGGAAGATGAGCAGTGGGATTAGATGTGAAATGTGCTGTTTCAATCCGTTACAAAAATGAGGATTTTGTCTTTAGATTTGAGGGCACCAGTGTGAGCAATATGAGACTTCTCTAGACTTACATGAGTAGCAAGAGCCTGTGGGTGACTCTCCTCTGGCCAAGATTTAGGATGCTCCAGTGTTGACTCTTTCTGCATCCTGGTCTGGAAAAAGAGCCAATGAGCTAACCTAAATTTACAGTTATTTGGCCCTATAAAGGGAGTTCCAGCTGATTTAGAAGAGTTCATGGGTCCTTTTGCACTGCTCATTGGAGCACAGAATCAAATAATCTGTCTCATTTACTTTTATCTTTGCCCAGACCCTCCTTATCTGTTTAATTTTATTGCCACTGAAGTCAACAAGAACAGCCTTGACTCCCACTGGAATTTAGCCAGGCCATTACAAGTTCTACCCAGGTCTTGTTGTATTACCCACTTCAAACAGGGTTGATTTCCAGCATGTAAGAACTCTCGGTACTTTTCTTGCAGCTACACCAACAAAGCTGATTACGGAGTCTAACACTCCCTTGCCAAGAACACCGAGCACACAGCAGGATTTATCCGTGCATAGACTCAGCCAACCTACTGCTCTTCAGGTAACTTCACGAGGAATCATGGAAGTAGGCAGAGGGTGTAACAGCATGTGCCACATACACAGCTTAGCAATTAAAAACAACTTACACAGAAGCCACGGCATTAGAAGAAACCTCAAATTTAAAGGAGCCAAACTTATAAATAAAGTTTTGGTTTGTTTGTTTTTAACCTAGGTTTCTTTGCCTTCTCAGCTTCCATGTGAGCTTCTCCCACAGCAGTTGCTGCCTCAAGCAACTCTGCAAAATCAGCCTGCACCTCTGGCACAGGTTAGTTGGGGATTTGGAAGTGGAATAGGTCACTTGCTTATCTCCTGATATTTTCTCATTTTGGGGCTTTTAGGTTACCTCTCTAGTAACCAAAATCCTCAAATCCAAACTCTCACTTAAAATATTTTGGGAAAGTAATCTGAATTGTACACTTGTATGTTTTAACATATAACTGCATGCAGGTGTTCAGAAGCCCAGGTGCGTGTAGGTTCAGGTGTTCACACATCTGTTTCATGGGAGGACAAAAAACAGATGGAAAAATACTTTTCAGTTTTGCTTTTACAGAACCAGGTCCCATCAAGATCAAATTCACATTGAGAATTAAAACCAAAAAACTAACAGAGACACCCAGTCCTGCTAAAAACACCTGTCTGACTGTGCTGAGGCAGAACTAACCAGCAGTAGAGGACATGCAAATTCAATACCCATTTTGTCAGTGTGCCAGTAATGGTAAGGATGACACTGAAGACAAATTTCAGATTCCTCCAATCTATTAACTCATTTCTCTGAAGTGGGTGATGGCCCAAAAAGTCACCTTAGGGTTACATTTGCAGTTGATTTTGAAGAAGCAAATTTGACTACCATGTTCCCAGCACATTGTTTTTCTCCTGTGGTCCTGCTGTGATGATACACCCCATCATCCTCTGATTTTAGGAATGACAGAGTATTGCTGGACCTAGACTGCTTCTACCATTGATACCATATACTCACTCACAAGATCCCAGAGTTTATTTCTGTAGCACATAAAACATATAAAGTCCTGAGGATCCTGGCTTTAAAATAACAAATTCTCATTTATCTTCCATGTTTAATATTCTTTTCATGACTCCATGCTAGCACACAGTGAATAAACAGCATATCAATTATCTGCTCTGAGCATTCATTTTCTTTTACAGATACTTCTCTCCGTTATTCATTAATGCATTTTCAAACATCAATTAGTTTATGTATTATAAGCCTCCGTGTGTTTTGTTTGACTTTTTTCTACCTCCCTTTCTTCTCTATCAAAGCTCTTTGTGAAAAGAAGCTTTCCAGTTGTTTACACAGAGCCCTGCTGCCTTGTCCCTTTCCAGTAAAAGGCTCTTACTGGCACACCAGCTCCATTTTTTTTCTGATAAATTAGAGTGCCATCTAATCACTGGTTAAGCCTCTTTGAGCCACCTAAATCTTGGTGAAAGGAAGAGGGTTGACTCTATCTACACAGGCAGCCCTCTAGCAGCAGTCACAGCAGTGCTCCTGGTGAAGCTCAAGATGAAGCTTGACGTGGGGCAGGGAAATAACATCAGGACATTGCAGCTCAGGCTGCTGATGTTCACACTCCATAGCAAAACTCCTGCAGAGAGTACCAAATCTCCACACACTTGGGTGATTTTCATAAACTATTAGGAATATTATGTTACTATGCTGTATGTCCCACTTTAAAATAATTAACAAGTCAGCCTACAGCAAGATAATTAATTATTTAAAAGACAAAGGTGCCTGCAGCTTTAGGTGAGTGAGGGATGAAACCAGGTACATGTGCATCCCACCAGGAACGCTTCCTTGGCTTCCTAGCTGACCATTTCCCAGCAGTTTAGTGGCAGAACACAAGCTCATTGCTTGTAGAAATAGTGTGGCCAGGTGCCCCACTGCCAGCTCACAAGGAAGAGCTGCACAGGTTTCTCCCTGCTGCCTTTCTGCCACTTGTCTTTATCTGAAGGTGACTGATGGCAGGAGCTGGAAGGCCTTGGGTGTCCTTGTGGCTAACATTTGACTACAGGGTGGCAGCAGCAGGGAAAACATTGTAAGTGGCCACAACTGTGTCTGCAGCGAGCAGCTAGCTGCTGCCTCAGGCACCATCTGCTTGAACTTTCAGTAGTTTTATTTCCAGCAAAGGCTGTGATGGTTTTGTCTCCACTGAAATGCAGTTTTAGCTTCTACCTTGCTTGTGTGAATGAACAGACACCACAGTGTTACCCTAGATGTCACCTGAATGTAAATGGTTTACTTTAAACCAAGTGCTCCCAATTAGAATATTTGTTTGTTTGCCTTCCTCATTGTCATAAATTAAAATCCCCTACAACACAGCGGATGTTGATGACTGAATAATGATTAACACTAATAATCTGTTTGGGATTGAGCAGGTGTTATTCAGATGACAGAAAGAAAGAACAAGTTGTTCAGTGAGCTGCAAAACTAATAAAATCCAGTTTCCCAGGGGCTGTGCCTTGCAGGGCTGGTGCATGGAGCCAGCCTTTCCCACAGGAGGAAGGGATGAGTGGATCCTTCTCTCCTTTGCTCAGCTAAAGATTTTGTGAAGTTACAGCAATCTGGTATTTTTGACACTCTCACAACTCTGTTGAATATCTCCAGCAAGAAACATGGCTCATCTCTTGGGCCAGAAGGATTGAAAGAGAATTGGAAGGCAGGCAGAAAAGAAAGTTTTAAAGGCAACTGAGCTAAAAAACAAATAGGGTCTCTTTTCTTTACCCAGCTTCCTACTGTCATGACACTTGTAGAACCAGAATGTCTTGAGACATCCATTTTTTTGTTTATCACATTTGAAATGAGGAACCATCCTGATAGACACAGGGGTCATAGGTCCCCTCTCCTGGCTGAAGTCCCCCAGCACCTAGAGAGAGGGAGTAACTCTGGCACTCTGGAGAAGCACTCAGTTGAGAAAAACACCTCTCCTTGGGCATGGTCCAGCTAGTGCCTTTCAGATGCCCATGATGGAGAGGAATCACAGCATGGAAGTGCCAGTCCCTCTCCCTGGGCTGTAGAACCTCCCTGGACCATCACCAGCACAGTGCATTGAGCCCCTCCCTACCAGAACATCTGCTGACATGATCCCAAATGCATCACCTTGTTTTACTTTTTTTTTTTTTTTAAGAAACCAGATTAAAATTACTGCTGTGGGTTTTGCTTGTTTGTTTTGGTTGGTTTTTTTTGCCTGCATTAACAAACCTTGATTAAACTGGTGCAACTATAGACATCTCACAGGTCTAGTCTCCCATGTTTGACTGTATTTAGGAAGATGACACTTTTCTGTGTATTACATGCACTTTTCTAAGGATTCTGTGGACATTTGTAAATACCTAAGTGAGAAGAAGAGCAACTTCATCTGATGCCAATAGCAGAGTTAAAGCTGGCCAGTGTTTTCTGTGGAATGTTTTGAGTTAAGCTCTTTTAATTTATTATACAATTAGAGATTTCTCCCTTAATTAGTAGAACGGTTAATGATCTTGAGATAAATACTCTCTGGTGCAGGTCAATTGCTGTTAGTGTCTCATTGTACAAAAACAATAGAAGCTCTGTAAGCACAGGGGTCTTGGTTAGAGTTACCAACAATTTGGGAGTTAGAGTGGGAGAAGGAAAAAAGCAAAAGAGAAAGTTCCTTTTCTTCATCCATAATAGCTTTCACTCCAGTATACCAGCTAATTGTTGATGTTAAGTATATTAATATAAAAAGCATGTGAAAAAGATAACCAAAGGACAATGTAAGATGAATATGCTAAATATAAGAACCTGCACCAAAAAATAAGGAATAGTGCAACTTTACAAAGCAAATTCAAATTTAAGACTAAAGCCCAGAAATGGATTTTGTTTCTTTTTGAGGTATAAAGTGATTGTGAAATTACTTGGTTTAAAATTCTTTATATTGATCAACCGAAGAAAATCAGGTTCTTTTCTCAAAGGGTCTTCAAGGAATTTGCATGTTAATCAAAAGTCTGCCATCACCAAGCCGGGCAGTTAAAATGACGCTCTTTGCTAAAACTAATTTTAATTTCTTTTCTAACAAGGATCCTTTTGAAAACTTAAAAGCAGTCCTCACTAAAAGAGTTCATATAGAGATAATTAGATTACAAGACTTGTCTTTTAAAAAGATCCTTCTGTACAGACCCAGGCTAAAGCAGGAATTAGCTGCATTTCGTCTATGATCTGTTGCTCATAGTATCATTCCACTCCTAAAATCAGGATACCTGGGACTCTTCAGAACCCAGAGGCTGGGCTATAACGCAGCACTAGATTCCCCTTTGAGTCACTTGTTCTTATTCCCAAACATCGGAGGTCTCTGCTCAACCATTCCTCAGATTAATTCTTTATACATGGATAAGAAAGAAAGCAAGAAAGAGACCCTGCTCTGGCTTCTCTGTAACACCAATTCAAAGTAACACGAACTTCCCGTTGGGAGGTCTGACACCATCTTCCTGCTCTGGGAGAGGGGCGGGTTGCACATGATGGCACTGCTGTTAACAGGCACAAGCACCATGAGCCACAGCATGGCCGAGGGCTCGTCACCTCCTTGGGCAAGTGCTCACAGGTGCCTCTGGCAGCAAAATGGGCTCTGAGGGCTGCTGTCACCAGCAACTCCTTGCCCCTAAGCAGGGCTGGCTGTGAGACTGACCTCCACCTGGCCACCACTCTGTGCAGTGATCTCCCAGGCTGTGGGGGAAAGCCATCCTCTGCCTGATAAATGGAAATAAACCCTCTGAAGTTGTCTCTTTCTCTGCCAAAGGCCATTTACTTAGAGATGTCAGCTTTGCTAGAGGGAATGTAAAGGTACTTTCACATACTTAACTGGTTTAAGGTGAACTAGTTAGCGGATACAAATCTATTCTGTCACATTTAGCTTTCTCTAAGTAACCAAAAATTTCATCTAAAGAAGTGTACAGTGCTGCTAGCACCAGAGCTCTCCTTTATTTCTGTCTTGTTATCTTTTTTTTCCTACTAAAAAGCCAGAAACAATGTAAGCCAGTGAGCACCATGGAGCAGGAAGGTTTCAGCAGCAAGCATCAGCTCACCCACTAGCACAGAGCCACTGGAACAACTATAGGAACAGGGCAGCATTTTCAAGTCACAGCAATTTTTTTTTTCCTGTACACTCACAACCCTGCATATTTTCAAAAAGATCTTGGATGCCTTGATTACATAAAAACTTTAAAAGATTTTTTTGAAGGGTTTTATTCTTATTTTCAAAGACTCTTTTTTTACTTTTGAAATATGAGCTTATGGAAAGCAATTATTCCAAAGCCTATTAAAGTAATAATTAACGTTGGTGAACTTTGAATCATACCTGAAAGCACCAAATACTGGGGATTTATTGCTGTTAGTCCTCTCCACAATTCTTGAATGACTTCAGTTTGTGCCAGTATTGCTGCCATTGGAGGTTGCACCTGCTTCTTGACCTTGATTAATGATCTCCATTTTTTACTATTATTTAGAACAGTCTTTCTTCCATTGAGTTGTGCTATTAATTTTACATCACATACAAAAATAACTTAATGAGTATTTCTTGTTGCTTAAGTACTACTCAGCTGTACAAATCTAGAAAATGTTTATTGTGGTCTATTGTGTGATGCCTTAGTAAGTCATCAGCAGAACAAAGCATTGCAGAACTGCTATTTCTGTGCAGAAAAAGGAAAGCATTAGTAAAACACATCTGGATTATACTGTTATGCCACACTAAGGGCTCCAAACTACAAGCTAATGAAAATAATGCACTCATTTGCCATCCAATTAGGATACTCTTGATATTTTAAAGGAGCATACTCTCAAAAACAGTCCTTAAAACAGAATATGGTCAATTGTAAGCAGATCATTCTAACTGAGGCAATTTAATATATGTGCATAACTTTGAAAATAGACAAGATCTGTCTTTTGCCTACATGTTAGTATATTACAAAGACATTTTTATTTTTTAGCTGTGCTTTACAATCAAGAAACTGGTAACTCCTTACAGAACAATGTTCTACTGAAGTCTGTTTGTATTATAGTGACTAATTTCCCCTCCCCTCCCCTCCCCCCTTTTTTTATTCCACCCACTCCCCCCCAGTTCTCAGCACAATTCAGCATGTTCCAGACCATCAAGGACCAGCTAGAGCAGCGGACACGGATCCTGCAGGCCAACATCCGGTGGCAGCAGGAGGAGCTCCAAAAGATACAGGAGCAGCTCTGCCTGGTCCAAGACTCCAGCGTACAGGTGCGTTTCTACTGCAAGGGGCAGAGTCAGGCATCCTCTCTCATGTGACTGTTGATAGGCTTGGCAACTTAAAATTGCTCCAGAGTCCAGGATACCTGGACAAGTGGAAACTAGCTCATCTGAATGAGGATGTTACCCTCTAAAAGCCTCTTGAGTAACCTATGTCAAGAAAGATTTAAGAGCTCTCTGGAAGAAGAGAAGGAAGGAATACTTCAGCCTTAGGAGGAGGAGAATAATTTGGGTCATTTACAATAACATTCTATTACTTTATCTACCAAGTCTTCAGACTGAGCAGCTGTAGTAGAAAGAATGTTGAAGTTCAGACTTCCTTGTCATATTAAAACCCCTGAAATTCTGCTGATGTTCATTTGTTCACACCTGGGAGGTATCTGAATGTGTTCTACACTGGACAGGCTTAAGCCTTTAGGGTGAAGCTGACTGAGCCTGCTCTGCTTCTGCCTTTGATACCTCCTACACAGAGGTAGAATTCTCTAGTACAGCATACGCTTTGTACCCCTTATGTCTACCAAACCTCAGAAATAATAGCAAGTGCAGTTCAGTAGATCACGATTTTCTTTAACAATAAGTGGACAAATTATCCAGTTTTATGGAAATTTTCTGAATGTGGGGTGATTACTGCTATGTTCCTCATATTTTAATTATAAATGCCAGGTAAAATGATCCTTGTTAATAATGTGGCACTGGGGACTTTGTGAGTATTATATTAAGAAGGTAATTTTAGAAAACAAGCTCTGTCAAGGAAACAAGTATCTCAAAGAGTATTTTACGAACAGGATGAAAACATGGGACCTACTAAAGTCAGTGGGAATTTTCCTTGCAACTTCCACACAGAAATAGACTCTCACCCATCATCAGCATCTGTGAAATGCAGTTTCACACATTAACAAATTTGGATTGTATGTTTAGGTAATTAAGGGACCAGCGAAGCCAAATTAGAAACTTTGCCACCTAAGTTGCTGCATGTGCACTGCTGTAAGACAACACAGCAACTGTGGGTTCCAGACCTGGGACTCCATGTTCCTGGTGCCATACAATCACATAGGGAGACCAGGTTTAGCTTCAGTGTGTTTCTTCTATTGGTTCTCCGCTGACTTTGATTAATAGGAAGAGAAAATCTCTGCAATTAACAGGTGTTCAGTTCAGAATCATGTCATATGTCTGAAAGCTATTATTGTTATTATGAATATCAAGAGACATGATATTCTCACTTTCTCTGTTTCTAATTGGGTGACAGCCATTACTCTCTCTCAGTGACGTCTTCAATAATCATGCACGCTCTTTTCTTTTTTTCATCACTTAGGCAAAAATAGAATTTCAGAACACATTCCTATATGCAGGAAACAGATTTTATTTTTAGAAAGCTGTCTCCTATATGCATTAGGGTGCATTTAACAGCACCAAGACCATGGCACAGATTCTCAGATACACGCAGAGGGAGCTCAGGCAGAGGCCCGGAGGGTAAATGGTGGGTTGTTCTGTACTGCCCACCCCTTACCAGTTTGTAGCTCTGAGTTACACCATTTTGGTGATGCCCTCTCCCATGAAGACTGCACCAGGTTGGACCAAGTATTTTCAGACCATTACAAGTTCTCTGCTATCAGTACCTACCATTTCCCAGGCTATTGCAGATGCAGAACTGAGAGGCAAGGATAATGGAAAGAGCTTGGAAATGTAGGGGGCTGCATATTTGCCTGAAATGGCAATGCTGGATGGGAATCATCCAGCAATGCTGGATAGAGATTACATCCTCTGCATTTTGTGTGCTTTTTGGTCTCCTCAGAGCAATCAAACAAGGTGATGAGATGTGAGTGGTCACACTGACTCCTGGCCAGGGCCTTTTTCTTCTCCCACTTTCTCTAGGTGAAAAAAAAAAAAACACACAAAGAAATTTCTGTACTGTTGCAGGGATAGATTGAGATGAGGAATTAATTTTGTCTTACTTGGCTAGGGGCAATTTGAAAAAAGCCTCACACTTTTGCATGCAGCTCTTTTTTGACTCACAAACAGCAAGGAGTAAACCATTAAATCAGAAATCCAACCACATGCTTTGCTGCACAGATTTCATCATTCAGGGAGCTGAATGTCTGCAGACATTGATCTGTGTCTACTATCAAAGCTTAAATGCATAATAACAAACAGGCTACTATCAAGCACATTTCTGGTGTCCTTAATACACTGCTTAATAGAGCTGTAAGCGTGGGGGAGTGATGTAGGCTGTCTGAAAAGAGGGAAGTTTTCCCTGCTTTTCCCTTATTAGCTGATTTATTAGCATATCATCCCCACTGGTTCAGTCCCTTCTACACAGAAGTGTACAGGTAGCTCTATGGAGAATTATGCTCAATTTCCATTTCCTTCAGAGATCTTCAAACCTGAGTACAGCAGTCCACTAAGAAATGTTTTCCCAGTCAGACAGATGTTGAGCACAGTAGTCTGCATTAGAAACTGTTTGCAGGAGACTTGTACAGAGAAAGATGAAACTATCAGGAGGATTGCAGGCCCTGAATAAAAGTGTTCAAAACCCCGTTAAATCTCTGTTACTGCTTTTCCCGACAATGAAGGACAAGAGCAGAAAGAGTAACCTCAGAAGTCTGAAGGATGCTGTGTCTGCTCCAGTTTGAACAGTCTAGCTAATGATTCACAGATGCAGAGGAAGGCAGAAAGGCTGAGCCTGACCAGCTTGCAAGAGCTACAATCAAGACCATCCACAGCCACCCATCATTTGCAAAGCAGGCTCTCTTCACAGTCAACGAACCTCAGCTTCCCAGTGCTGTGCTTCTCATCTTTATATATTTTACATAAAGAAAGAGTCTTGATACCTGTAATGATGAGCCCAAAAGCTATAATCCCCTGATTATCCAAAGGACAGGTAGAGTCAGAGATGTTTTCCTCAGGATGCCTTGTCACTGTGATTCAGCCATTAGCTGTAGGGCCCATCTATCGTGGAATGAGGGGGCAGCAGTGTCAGAGCGTCCCTCCTCTCCCTCACTGCTTTGCTGTGTATGTTAACAATCTATCCAATTAAAAAATGTTTGTAAGATGCTTCACTGACCTCGCAGTCCACAAAATCAGCAACGAGACATGTCATTAGCAGCAATACAGTTAGAAGACTGCTAATTTAGCTACTTAGGGAAAGATTTTATTTTTTTATGGAAAGGTTTCTCTTGTTATTTAAAGCTGCTGTATTTCAGTGTTTTGGGGAAATTCAGACGGGACTATCACACAAGAGGCACATTATGAAAAACCACCATTAAGATTTGTACAAATTAAGCTTTTAGGTTTAACTAGCAGGTGGAAATTCCACTCCTCGATCCTCTGTCAGGTTAACTCTTGCTTTGATAAGGCATCTTGAGTCTTCAGTTCTGCAGGGACACGGCCAATACTGCTTCCTGTTCTGAGCTTGTTTTTTCCAGGTCATTTATGTCCAGAGGGTAACAATGCTTTTTTGGCCATTATAATGGCAACAGAGGGTTCTCAGGTATGAAACACTCACAGCCCTCTCAGGGTACGAACATATGAACAAATGAAATTGGTCTGCTGGGATAAACTTGGTTCTACATTTATGGTGTGTTAGCCGCCAACCATTAACTGTGCACATTCCTACCCAGTGGCACACTAGTAATTGCAAAGTAGGTTACTCTGCTTTCTTTGGAGGATAAACTCTGTGGCCTTCAACTGGACGTGAGGTAAGCACACAAGGAGGTCCCTGCTAAGTAGTCTGCATTGGGTGAACTGAGTCCTTCTCCAGTGCTGTGCACCATGTACAAGGAGGATGCAAAGCTAATCCTCCTAAAGGCCTTAATTTGCAGTGATCTGTCCAGTACTAGTGGGCTCACACTCCCTCCCCATGACTTTCTTGACATGCACCACTTGCTTTGCCTGTTCTGAATTTTATATCAAATTTTATATCAGTGGCAACCCGTTTCACTGCTAGGGCTGATCAAGTGAGTTCATGTACTAAACATGTCAAAAGCTTAGCTTCTATGTACAGAAAATAAACAAGAAAATGAATGTTCATGATATTTGTCTCTGATTTATTCATTATAAGACCTATTTACTTGGCAGAAGTTGCAAGACCATCTGTCTTTCTGATATGTAATGGCTCCAAACCCAGTGAGCAGTATTTTTAAAAGAAACCACTCAGAGCTAGTTTCAGACCTGCTGCAAGCAGCAGCCCCCACCCTGTCACTCGACCCATTTATTCCTATCAGACATCTCTGAGATGTGGTTAGCCTACAGCACCTGAAACAAGCTGTTGCTTTTCCTTAATTGCCCCCCTCTCCCAGATGATTAATGTAAGCTTTGTCTGTACCTTTTTTCCTGGGTAAAATCTTGGCACAGAGGAAATAATTAAAATTTTATCATATTTAAATAAGCTGTGTTTTTAAAGCTAGATAAATAAGTAAACATGATGGATCAAACCGTACTTTTGCAAAGAAAAGCAATATATTATGCTTTGGAGAAAGGTATGGGCCTTTTCCAGGAAAACTTAGAGGGGACATGATAGTTTAGGGAATTGTTAATATAGCAATAAGCTGCACAAAGGTGTACTAATTACTGGGTGTACCTCAGATGTACTGATAGGCATGTGCATGAGACTGATGGATGAATAACAAAGAGAATAATTTGATTCTGATTTCATTGAAAACTTAAGTAGCCCTACTTAAATTAATGGAGTTCTACACATGTAGCAGTGGTGTGGAATCAGAATCAGATCCAAAAATTATGTCAACTGTGTGGGATGTGTATCTCCATACAGTCCTTGGTTGCAGAAAGGCTAGGTCTGAAATACTGCAGAGAGCTTGTAGCAGTAATAATGCATGGTTTTAAAAGAATACTTTCCCCTCTTTACAACTGTAATAAAAGAAATAGCCCCTAGAAAAGCAAAAATTCCCAAGTCCTATAACTTTTAAAGAAGAAAGCCTCATCTTGAAATGCAGAAGTAGAGAGGACATAATTTACAGAAACAGTAAGCTGCTAGCTCTTTTGCACAAGCCAAATGCATGACACAGTTAGGAAGAATGCCAGGTGACAGTTACCTGATGGGAAATCAGATAAATGACAGCGACTGTCTGTTTACACATCCTGTCAATGATAAGGACACGGCCATTCAGCTTGGAGAGCTCTGGCCTGACTGTGGCCTCATTAAAAACATTCGACAACTCAGCTGGGTGTAAAGTGTTGAATTTCCAGAGACAAATTCAAAGACAGCTCTGTCTGAAAGGCAGGTGGATTTTGTTGAAAGGAGAAACAAAAGGACTGAAAAGACATGGAGTTACTCTCTACTCTTTGATGAGGATGCCACAGAACACAGTGAATGTACTGGGAACTGCTCTTAAGCAGGCTGTACCTGCCGCGTGGAGAGAGGACTTGCCACCTTCAAGACATTTCACAAGTAAAGGGTGCACTTGCAGAGCAAGAATCCAAGAAAGTAGAGAAATTGGGTAGAGCTATTAATGTAGGAATGATAGGTGATTTCCAACTAACAGTAAATGTGTTATGAATCTAGAAATGTGATAACTTTATTTTAGAATGTATCTTTGGATTTACTTCTGTCATATTCATTACCCAAGACATCTGGGCTATGTAAATAAATCCCTCCCCTCTTCTTTTCCAGATGATCTTACAGCAGCCAGCAGTGTCCCTGAGCTTTAGCAATACTCAGCAGCTGGACCCACAACAGCTACAGCAGAGGTCAGGGGCCATTTCTCAGCAGCAGCTTGTCCCCAGTCCTCAACTTCAAGGGCAAATCACATCTTCACAAACAACGAACCAGCAGTCACTGAGAGAAGCAAGTGTGATATCGAGCCAGGTAATAATTTCTTTGAATAGAGAAGCATTTAGATGGAGACACTGAGCTGTTATTAAGCAAGCAAGTAAAATCATGTCCGTCCTGTAACTGTGCCTTTGCCTTCCCTTTCTTCTGATTCTGTATAAGAGCAGCGTGTAAAAAGGGCTTCCCTGCTGCATTTGCCTTACCTTAAAGCCTTTTTTTAAGACCTCAGCCAGAAGGGTTATTTGAGCAGCTGTTTCAACTTGAAAATGGAGCAGGGGGACACGCAAAATGTGTAGGTGACTGTTCTTCAGGTGGTCCTGAAAGAAACCTGACTGATCACACTGGAAACTTGAAATAGTGAGACCTCCCAGAATACTTGCTCCCCGAGCCCAGGACTCCACCAACACAACAAAGCCCGTCTGCTGTGGTGGCACACACAATACATTGAGATTCATTTGAGACCCTCAGGCTGTGAATGTTAACAGGTTCCTGCACAGCAAAAAAAAAGTCCAGCCTGAGCAGTAACTGAAATCTAAAACCTATTTGGTTTGGCACTATATTTATTTTTTGTTCATACTGTTGGTTTCTCAGCATTTCCACTGTTTGCTCTTCCATCCACCTGTTGCATCTCCCTTCACAGAAAACTGAGCTCCTGTTTCTGCTTCCTGATTGTGTTAGCAAGCATATTTGCCTGATTGTCTTCAGAGTCCCCAGCTGTAGCTTTTCACCTCCTACATACCTGTGTTATAATGATTCTATTAGAGAGTGTATCTGGGTAACAAATACAAGGGGCAAGGGGCAGAACCTGATGCACAGGAAGTTCCACCAGAATGTAAGGAAGAGCTTTGTCACTGTGCGAGTGACTGAGCACTGGAACAGGTTACCATGAGAGGGTGCGGAGTGTCCCTCACTGGACATTCTCAAGAACTGTCTGGACACGATCCTGTCCATGTGCTCTGGGATGACCCTGCTAGAGGAGGGAGGTTGGACCAGATATCCCACTGTGGTCCCTTCCAACCTAATCTGTGATTCTGTGAAGTAGAAAAAAAACCAAAACGCAGCAAACAAACAAACCAAAACAACAACAACAAAAAAAAAAGACCACCACCTTTTTTTTTTCTATGATCTCTTCCTATCATGGGTCTTGGCGGCACGAAGCTGAACTTCGTTCGTGCCTTAATGGGGGGTCGTTTGGGCAGTGCCGGGTTTGCCGGCCGGCAGGAACAGGCCCAGGGCAGCCGGGAGCATGACAGTCGTTTCGCGTATGGCGACAGCAGCCGGGTGGCGACACAGTGGTGCCGCAGTCGAGATGTCTCCCTGCTCTCTTCTCTTCTCTTGCAGGGCCCGAAGGCGGCGCGGAGCACGGAGCTGGCGCCGGGCGGCGGCCGCGCCCCGCCCCGCCCCGCGCCGTTCGCCTCAGGCGGCGGCCCCGCGGCGCCCCCTGGCGGCCTGTCCCGCGGCGGCACCCCCGCGCCCGCCGGCTGCAGCCACGACCAGCAGCTCAGGTACGGGCCGGGCCCCGCTCGGGAAGGGCTGAGCTTCCCGCTGTGCCCGCCGGGAACAGCGACCGCAGGGCACGCCAGCTCGGGGACTGCTGTAATGCGCAGGTGGATTAAGATTCCCGGAGTGTAGCTGGCTGACCCCGTAGAGTTATTAAAACTGAAACCTTGCTGCTGGCTTTGAAGAGCACAAGGTGAATGTAACCGAAGTTGTAATATATTATTGAAGCATCATATATTTAGCAGATAATAATGGTAAAAAATGTGATTTATGAGGTGTATATGAGGCACGCAGATCAGCCCAGAGGGCAGGCGCTGCCCCAGCCTCCGCCTGGCAGTGCCCGGGATGCGCCTGCCACAGCCAGCAGCTGGGCCAGAGCTCCTCACGCTCCGCCTGCTGCCGTGCCTGGGAAAATGCTGTTTCTCTTTGCACAGTGTGGGGTTTGTATGGTCCTTCTCTTCCAGCAATGTCACCTTTTTTTTCTTTTTCCCCTCATGTGCCAGATTGTTGCTTAGCCAGCCTATTCAGCCCATGATGCCTGGGTCCTGTAATGCAAGACACCCTTCAGACCTCAGCATGGCGGGATCCCAGGCCAAGTACGTGCCTTGTCGAAGATAAAACATCAAAGTTGCTTTTGAGGGGAAGTAGCTTTCTTTTGTAAGATGGTGACGTAGTTACAAATATTGGGAATGTGTTACTATGCTGAGCCTGCCTTCCAGCATTGAGGTCAGCCTTACCCTGCTCGGTCATATCAGGAAGAATGACAGAGGGAAACACAAAGTGCCAGTGTTAACAAGCCATGGCTGGGGGAATTTTTGTCCCTCACGTGCTGTCTACTTCAGCACTAGAACTTCTGACCCACCAAGGTAAATGTGAGAAAGTCAGCAGTTAAATGACTGGTGCCAAGAAAGCCTCGCTTCAGTTGTTTTGTCTCCTCAAAACTTAGATGAAAGAAGCAGAACATGCTGGTCAAAATATACCTTTTTTTTAAGCTGTTTTTTTTTCACTGTACAATTGTGAACTGTAAAACAATAAGCAACTCTTTGCACGTAATTTCTTTAAAAGTAATTCTTTTTACAAAACAGTATTGTTATAATGTTATGTATATTATAATGAATGTAGGTATTCAGTACTTCTTTTTTTAAACATCATTATTGTTGTTTAGGTTATCTTGAGTTAGTTTGTCAAATATAAATATTGTAGCTCTACTTTTAAGGCTCTGAACAAAAGAGGCCTTATTTGCAAAGATGCATCTCCCAGCTCACGTAGACTTCCTGACTCATGGGACCCTTTTATAGGAGCTCACATCTTCATACAAGTACCCAGACTGTAGAACTTCTGACTAAACCCTAATGTTGAACAGCTGTTGAGTGAACACAAGCCACACTATGATCTCATCATCCTTCACAGGATAAACAGAATTAGGCTGGGTTGGCAATAGTTCTATTGTGGTTTTGCCCACAGCCTTCCACAAAACAGCACATACTTAAGTTTTGCTTTGCAGCAGAATGGCAAGAGGAGATGAGTATTTTGTTTCTGTCCCATCCCTCGTTCCAGAGGGTTTCTAGAGGCTTCTGTTGCTAGAGTGGGGCTCATGGTGATGGGAACTGCTGATCGTACTTGGCAATATGTGCATGAGCAGCTTCAGAAGTAATCAACCCTAGCCGTGTTTCTGCAGGAGATCACCACCCCCCAGGCAGTCACAGGGGAGCACAGGCAGCAGCACAGGAGGTGCATTTGCTTCTCTCTTGCTGCAGTTCAGGGCTCAGCATATTAAAAGAGAATCAAAGGCCATTTGGTTTAATGAGCCTGGGATGTGAATGCTGTGGCTGAAGAAAAGATGTGCATAAACCAGAATCTTTAATGAATCTAAAATGTGATCTGGATTTTGAGGTGAGATGTATTCTTCCCTCCAAGTCCAGCTCATGCACAGAGTAAAGAAAAGCAGTGCTTCCAATAGTGCTGTTGTTCATATTAGCAGGTACCATGCACTGAAATAATTTATTGGGAATTATCTGAGGGGTTTCCTTGCAGAAGAGAAGGCCTGGGGAGATGTCACAGCAGCCTTCCAGTATCTAAAAGGGGCTGTAAGAGAGAAGGGGAGGGAATTTTTACAAGGGCATATAGGGATAGGACAAAAGGTAGTGAATTTAAACTGAAAGAAGGCAGGTTTAGATTAGATATTAGGAAGAAATTCTTTACTGTGAGAGTGGTGAGGCACTGAAACAGGTTGCCCTGAGAAGTCGTGGATGCCCCATCCCTGAAAGTGTTCAAAGCCGGATTGGTGGATGGGGCTTTGAGCAGCCTGGTCTGGTGGAAGATGTCTCTGCCCATGGGAGGTAGGTTGGCACTAGACAGTCTTTGAGGTCCTTTCCAACCTACAGCATTCTGTGATTCTATGATTTAGGAAGACTAGGTATTGCCATCCCTATTCTAAGAGAAGACCTTTGTTTCCAACACTTTCTTCTTGATAGTTTTGCTTCTTTCTTCCATAGGTATTCTCAAACCCAACAAATGTTTCAAAGTTTGGAAGTGCAGACTTCCAGCAGCAGCTCTCCAATTGTACTGATGGGACAAGCAGTGTTAAACCAAGGGTTCACCACTACCCCTCCTTCCCAGCCATCCTCTCTGCCACCTATGCAACTCCAGCACCAACAGCATCAGCAACAACGCTACCTGCAGGTAGGACAAAGAGGATGATGTATAAAATGTGTGCACACAGTAACAAGGTGAGTGGGCTGTGCAAATGGGGCCTCAGGTTTCTGCTGGAGCCTGATGCTGGCAGAAATGTCCATTTAAGAGATTGTGACTTCTGACCTGTGGCACACTGCTACAATGGCCAGTACTAGTACAGCAAGGGAGCAGTGGAAAGAGTCAGAATATTTAAAAGGAAATTACTAATTCTGTACATTTAAAGCATAATCAGGTTATCTTGGATATATTTAAAATTTATTTCCAGCTGGAAATCAATGCCTTAGGATTTGTTCTGTACTCTTTATTCAGTATAAAATTTTCTTAGTTCACAAGTCAAAAAATTATTTTTAATTACCAGCATCAACATAAAATAGATCTGGATCAGATATCTGGATCCCTTCAGGAAACTAACATATTTTCTCAACTCCACAAGGCAAAGAAGATAAAGTGGAGCACATTGCCTGGAACAACCAGGTGATTTGAAGATGTAAAAATACTTAATTTTTGACCTAATTCAATACATACCGAAGTAAAGGGGGGAAATGAGGTCTCTCTGTAGTAGTTCAGCAGGAGCTGAACTGAGTCTGTAAAACCTGGTCACATATCCACTGGCATCATTGAAAGAGTATAACCAACCTCAAATGATCAAACTCTTCTTATTGAAATGAAATCCTTATCATAGCTGAGAATTAATGAAAAAAAGTCCGGCAGATACTGTTTCCAATAAAGCGTCTGCAAAATTCACATCAGCTGCAACAGTGCAAGGTCATGCCCAACTGTAAGCTCAGGAAAAGGAAGGGCTAGAAGGGAGAGCATGAGGCACATTAGGATCCTGTTTCATTTCTGCCATCCATCCGTGTCATTTCTGACATGTTCACCCATGCAGTTCCCAAGCAGGCTTTTCAGGATAACCTGCAAATCCCAGGCAGTGCATTCCTATGAGAAAACCTTCTCAGTGTGTATTTGGCATGTTCTTTTTTGCGATTTATGTTAATTCCTTCTATCATTAGTTAAGCTAACCTCATGCCAAACAGCTCTAGAAATAAAAGCCAGCAAACCAGTAGTATTTTTAAACATCCTGTAACCTGAGGACAAAGAGAATTAACACATGAAAGAATCAAACACCACAATAAATTTTATTTCATCTGTAGGTGCAAACACCAAGTTCTTTGCACAATGAACAACCTGATTCTTTGCTCCTGCCATCTTATTCACCACGGCAAGGAAATATGGGGTATCATCAGACACAGCAGCAGCAACAGCAACAACAACTAACATCAAGAAGAAGGAATAGTTTATCAGAATCATCAAATTTACCACAGCCACTGCGATAGAGTCCCACCAGCACAATCAATGCACAATTAGCTTTAACCAATGGGCACATGGGGCAGAAGAGAATGACTTTGTACTTACTGTTCTGGCTTTTGCACAAGCATTTCTTTCCAAGCTCTATGACAGAAGTACACCCAGAGTGCAGACTGCCACAGACAGTGCGTTCATGGCACGCTGGCTTCTGTTTGCGCTGTGTCGTGAGCACAGGATGTACTGACAGAGCAAAATCAAAAGGAGCACTATCCTGTGCGGCCTCCATCACCACTGGGAGCATGGGAAGAGACGTGTCACTCTGGAAGCCATCTGGCAATTCCAAAAGACTGTCGACAGACTCATGAGGTACTTGGCCTTCACTGTTTCAGTTCTTCTTTTGTGTATGAAAAGCACTGCGTCAAAGGTCTATCAAGGAGAGAACAAGAGATTATTTTTATTATGATTATTGTTATTATTTTGCACAACTGCACAGATGACAAAACCTAGGCACTTTCTGTAAAGAGAAGTTTGTTTCTTTATTCTTGTGGCCAAATTAGCACATCCAATGGAGGAAAAAGCCCAGCCATTGGTGAAGATGGTCTACAGCTCATAACGCTTGATTTAGAATCTGAGAAGTATTATGCAGCTTACCCTAACTGTTCTTCATTACTAAAAACCAACCAACCAAAAAAACCAAACCCACAACCCACACTGGACTGTTTTCTACATGAATTGTGATTGCAAAGGAGAACTCAAATTGTAAGCACAATCATGCAACTCTCCAATAGTACAACATTAATCCTTCTTCAACCTAAACTCACCCACTCCAAGTCTCTGAGAAATATGCACTGTGTTTTGGCCCACTGACTCGGGATGCTGCAGACTATTACATATCTCTTTCATGATAACATTTAGGATTAAATTTTCCTTTGGAGGAAAAAAAAAAAGAAAATGCACTTTTCGCTTTTTTTGTATGTTTTCCGTTGATATGTTTCTAAGAAAGATTTTATGTAATTATTAAATAAAAAGTAGTGTATTGTACAGCTGTTGTAATAATGACCTATTTCTATATAAAATAAAATTATATGGAATTATGTGGAAATTATTTTGTATATGAAATATCAACTCATTTCACAAGTATAAAGATTGTGCTTGTGCTTTTTTGTGAGTGGGTATTTTGTAATAAACTAATGAATTAGAAATGTTTTTGTGAAGGGAACTACTGTTTCATGCTATATACAACTCAGACTATTATTTTTTTCCATTTAATGATGGACAGTTGTCTTTATTTGTAGAATAAAATAAAATAGCCAAAAGGCTTTATTGCAGGACTTGCACACATTTTCCTGTGACTGTTGAACTATGTGATTCATTTTAGACTTTTAATCTTAACCATAGACTTGAATGGTGTTTGGCAGTCAGTTAGCAAAACCAAGTATTATCCCTTGTAGTTTTTGTCATGGTATAGACACTGAGAATGAAAGCTCAGGAAGTTATATTAGCTGCAAGTGAAGACAGCTCATTTTAAACACATTTTTAAAACTTTAAGAACCTTTAAAGAACTCAGGCAGCTTTGTACTTCCAACTAGAGAGTTTTTTATTAGCACAAAGCAGATGGTTTAAAGAACAGTTTGACTCAGCATACGCCAGGGCTTTGACCCATGTCCAGCTTCACTGTTTTAAGACATTGCTGTCCTGAGTTTTCGGGTTTTCTCTTCTGGAATATTCGCCCTGTAGACAGTCTGGTTTCCACTTTAGCATCCTTGTGCAGAATTCATGTTAAATTTAAATTGACTACAGGATGGAGCAGCCAAGGTACAGGTTTGCATTCCCTCTGCAAACAGGGAGAACCTCCAACACAGATTAAGGTGGGTAACTGAGCACAGGAATGTCTTCATTCCCCTCAGTAAGACTGAAAGGGGATGGCCCTCAGGCCAGCATTAGGTTCAACAAAGTACACAAATGGCCTTCCCTCCCTTGAGTCCCAAGGATCATATCAGCAGGGCCCACGTGTTCTGGTTTCTATGCCATAGGGGAGCAATAGAGATAACTGGGCTAGGAGCTAGAAATTGTGAAAGTAAGCTTTCATGGAAATGAAAAAAAAGCTTATTTGCCCTGAGTTCTGAAAAAGCTAAAAATCTCAAGAAAATCCATTGACAAAATTACCCCGATGCTTCAACTGCAAGACCGGGTGGTAGCACTGATGGGTGCATGTGTATTTCATGTGTATTTCATTCCATATAATCCCTCATTGAGAGAGGATGAGGGAATCAAGCACTGGGTCTCTATGAAAGTGTTTTTACTGCTAACTTTAGTTACCAGGATGAATTAGCCTGCTCATCCCTTTAAATTCTTGTATTCAGTGAAGCAAGACTGACCCCACCAGATGAAGATTAGAAAGCGAGATGTGATAAGTTTCACTTAATGTCAGAAAGAACCCTCTCTTTCCATTAACTACAGACAAACCTAAGCAAAGGCCAGTTGGCTAAAATAGAGGCTAACTTCATAGAGCCCAGCCACTCCTGGGAAAGGAGGGCACAAATCTGTAAGCCCAAAGTTCATGCAGGAAGAGGTAATGAAGGAATATGAGCACCTCAGGGGAATACCTGTGGAAGCAGCAGCTGACGGATCTCAACTACTATGATAGAAGACACAGGAAGGGAAAATTCCTTTAAAAATTTGTTCTACTCTCAGGGTTTATAAACCTATATCTCTCCCAATTGCCAGCGGTATGTCCAAACCAAACTCAGCCTTGGAGCAAACACTTAACTTTCTAATACCAGTGTCACTGTAAGCTGTTAACAGGGAGATCCTGTAAATACTGTGGAGTTGCCTTCTGAGCTGGTTTGATACATTGTTTGGAAGGATACAGACAGCTCACAAGAGCAGATTTACGTGAAGACCAAATTTTTCATGCTCTTCTCCATACACACATTCTGGTTTGGGATTATTGTCCTTGTTCTCTGTTGCACACACAAGGCAACAGAGTGGGCTGTTCTAGTTCATTACATCCAAAACCCAGCTTGTTCCCACATAATCCCTCATCTCGGATCGGTTTTCCGGACAGGCAGGGTGATTACACAGGGCTGCTCCCCCACGCCGCGATGCCTCGACTCTGTCTCGGAAACAAGAGCAAAAATGCTTGCTGGAAGCACCACTGCGCCAAACTGAGTTCCTCACACACCACTGCAAGGAAAAGGGAGAGACCGTACAAAGGAAGCGGGCAGGCAGGCACTGAACACCCCCGGTACCGGCACACACTGACACCGCCCCGAAGAACATCCCGGTACCGGCACACACAGATACCGCCCCAAAGAACACCCCCGGTACCGGCACACACTGACACGGCCCCAAAGAAGGAGCCCGGTACGGGCACACGCTGACACAGACACCGCCCCCAGCCCAGCCCAGCCCAGCCCAGCCCAGCCCCTCCTGCCGCCGGCGCAGTCGCTCCCCTGCCTTGTCCCGGAAGGGCTCCTGTTTCCCAGCGTGCCCCGCGCGCTCCTTTCCGGCCGGTTCCCGGGCAGGGTGAGTGTGGGCCGAGGCTCATCCCGCAGAATCCGCGTCCATCCGCCCCGCAGACCCCGCGGCGCTGCGGGAATGCGGCCTCGCCCGACATGGGGGGCGGCCCAGCAAGGGGGGCACTGGCTGGGATCTCCCGGCGCGTCCGCGTTCGGCGGGAATGGGGCCCCTTTCCTGCCCTCCCCAGGCCCGGGGAGGCCTGCGGGACTCATGGGACGGGGATACGGCCCGTGCTCTTGCCCCTGGGAGGAGCCGCTCTGGCCCTTCCGTGTTCATTCCGGGACGGGCTGAGCTGCGCTCCTGGGTCGCCTTGCAGAGGGAGGGGGCTTGGGGCTGCCAGGAGGCCGATGTCAATGCGAGGTGGTCGGAGATTCTCGGATGTGCTTCCTGCTCTTGTCAGGGAGATGGAAGTAAAGAGTCTGCGATGGTGGGAAGTTGCTGTGTGAAGCCTGAGACTGGTGCGACCCCGGGGGTTAATGAAGCTTGGGTTTAAGTTTCTGAATGTGGGAGTTGTGCGGTTTGTAATGGGCTGGGGAAGGTCCGAGACCTGCGTTTGATGTGTGCACGGTGCCTTTTAGCGTCGCTGAGATGGCTCCCGCAAAGAAAGGCGGTGAGAAGAAGAAGGGGCGCTCTGCCATCAACGAAGTAGTAACTCGGGAATACACCATCAACATTCACAAGCGGATCCATGGCGTGTAAGTTCTTTTTATCAGCGAAATTGTCCTTCTGTGAAGTGGCGTTTGGAAGTGGGTTGGGTAGGTTTTAAAGAGCAGAGAAGGACCGTTCTTAGAGCGTTGTGTTTGTGGTCCCCTATGCCTCTGTTGTGTCCCGAGGCTGCAGCTCTGTACCTGCAACCCCAGACTTGGCTTGTGGCTTTCAGGAATAAGCCTGTTTTTGTGATTGTGAGTATTCTGGGATTTAAAGTTAATTTAAAGTTAGTTAATTCTGTGCACAGGTTGTCATTCTTTCCCAAGCAAATGCTTAAACTTCAGCCCACTGAGAAGGTTTCAGAAATAAAATACTGCTGTAATCAAAGTACTGGCTTCATGTTTATCACGAAATGGTGTGAGTTGTAAACTGGGATGTGATTTGGGTTAAAGGATATTTGTTGTGTTTAGGTAAGAGTAGTTTTTTAATTGACCAGATGCTGAACCTCCTGAAACTGTTGTGAAAAAGTGCTTCAGAGGAAACTGCAGTGCCCTTGTGTATGCCTGCAAGCACATGGAAGACGCCACCCAAATCCAAGCAATTGGTGCAGTGGCTAAAGTTAACACGGAATAGGAGAGAAATGAGGCAGTGGAGCACTGCAAAACCATGGCTGAGAATGGGAGGCAGTGATTACTCTTCAAATGGCAATAAGATGTCCCAGCCTTGCCTGTTGATTGGCACTTCAGTCTGTTCTAATGCTGATGATCCTGCTGTATACCTTTATTTTTGGGCATGATACGTCCAAACACTATTTAGTGCTTGTCTCACTTGTGATCAAGTACCCATTTCTAGCAGTATCAACAGCAGTGTGCATATAATATAACTAAATACAACCTACTGTGGGATGTCAGGCATTACTGGCATAGCCCCATGTCACAGTGTGAGTATAATATATATGGCAAAACACTGATGGTGCAGCTCTTACTTCCAATGTGGATGCCCAGTCCTGCAGGATCTGCCATAATCGGTATGAGACAGGCTATATGGTGGAAAAAAAACAATTCTCATGTAGTCCTGATTTGGTATTGGTGCAGTCCTGATAGCGTGAAAGAAGGTAACTATCAAGTACTGTTGAGCAAAAGCTGATATTCAGAATAACATCAGATTTGTTCTTCTGCTGCTTATTTCAGTACTGATACAGTTCTGACATGTTTGTGTTATTATTGTTGCACTGCTTTGCTCATAGGGCTTTTATTCAGTGTCAGTGACACCTCTGATCTCTTCAGTGTTGCTGAGATATTCAAACACACTGACATTAAAATGAAGGCTTAAGGAGATCTTGTTGATAATTTTACTGAAATTATTCTTTGTAAGTGGTTTCTATTAAAGTTGGCATCTGCCTGCTAGGGTAAAGGTCTAGTCAGGCTGGTGCAGCTGTTTGGTGTTAAGCACAATGCTTCGGGGGGTTTTATGTTTGGAGAACACATGAAACGAGTGTCTAGTGCTGACAGTGTCCTGAAGTTAAAGAAATGGCTCTTGTGTTTGTCCCAGGGGCTTCAAGAAGCGAGCACCACGCGCTCTGAAGGAAATCCGTAAATTTGCGATGAAGGAGATGGGTACTCCTGACGTTCGCATTGATACCAGATTGAACAAAGCAGTCTGGGCTAAAGGAATAAGGTGGGTTTTGCCGTTTTCTTTACTGGGTGAAGAACGGCATGAAGGATTAGGAAAATAATAGTATACTTGCATTATATGCATATTCTTTGCAAATGCTTCCTTCTTGTGGCATACACACCAACCTAATCTTTCTGTCACTTCTGTGTTCTGGTCAGCTGTCCTGGCATATTTATAACAAAGCTTTGGTAAACTCTGGAATTGAAAGAAGGAAAAAAGGAATGCAGGTTTGACAGTGGAGGGCAGGGAAGATAAAGGATTGGGGTATTGTAATACTGTAGTACCTTGATCCCTGTTGCAGCAGACAGTTTTTATAAACCTGACTTTTCAGTGATACCTACAATCCCAGGCTAAGTGGGATTTGTGTAGTGTGTCTGAACAGGATTAGGTTTTGAAGCATGCTGCACAAAAGGAGGTGTGTTTTCAACAGGGCCACTAATCTTTTCTTGAAAGTACAAATAAACAAGTCGTTTGGGGACCAAAAACTACAACTTCTGTTGAGTCACTGTTACAAAGGCAGCTGATATGACATGCATAAAAATGGTCCAAAACAACTCCTGTGGGGAGTGGTACCTCTTAAACTGTAATAAAAGGGTTTTTTTTTATCCAAAGCATCTGGATTGATGCTTTGAGAGATGCACATGGGCTTAAACCATGTCTTCTGGGAATTAGATCCCTAAGTCTGGTCTATGACATGCATAGAATGTTTTGCCTGGTGTCGTGTGGCTGATCCTTCCTTCAGAAGCAGAGTGGGAGGATGAGACCGAGTTACTGGGTCTTCCATGCTGGGGTTCTCTGTCTGCCCAGTTCATAGGCAGTGAAGAAGGAACAGTGGAAGCAGGAAACAGCATTCTTAACTCCAGAGCTTTGTAGTGAGGCTTCTAACCAAGACTTCCTTATATTAACTGGCACAAGTGCAGTCTGTGGAGCAAGGAGTCACCACATCTGTCTTTCCAGTGTGAATCTGCAGTTTTTACTAGTTGGAGTAGATAATGTATGCAAAGTAAAGCATCTTCCTCTGGAAGGATCAGTAGAGGCTAAAATTACCATGTTTGCTGGTATAATAGTCAGTGATCTACATAATAGTGAAAAATGCTTTTGACTTTGACAGGAACAGAGGAAAGCAAAGCCAGTTCCTGTGTCTAATTGTTATGTCCACCTAATATAATAAGTATGTTCTTGAACAGACTCTTCTTGCAGCAGGGAGGAGGTTCCTTCACATATTCCGTGGAGCAAAGTATTTTGAGCAGGAGTTTCCTAAAATTTTGAGTTCAAGGTGGCTGGTTAAGTGAAAAATGTGTGGAGAAAAAATTTTGTGCTTCCCCTCAACAGCATATTTTGGGCATTATTAGGTGAGGACACTAAGCTGTGATTTGTCTATTATAAACGAAATCATTAAACAATGTAGTTATGATTCCATGGGCTTTGTGAGGAAGAAATTACCGGTTATGTGCCCATAAGTAAGACCTTGGTTGAGGCTTGATGCTCACTGGAATTTCCACAACTTGTGGCATAAAGATGGGTAATACTCGGACTTTTGACGGAGGCCTTGGGCTTTCAGGGTAGATTGTTGGGGCTTTTTTCACTATTTTATATAAGTATATAAATATATATATATAAAAATATATTGAATGTAAGTAATATAATATTATATGTTATATATACATATATATGTGTATATATATTTTTATATAAGTAATAGTATGGTAAGAAATGCATGTTAGTAACTGCTGCTTGCTGATCATGTTCACTTGATGATCCGTCTTCCTGGTGTATTTCCTCATCATATTTTATATGATGCACTTCTGACTTACTGTTCCTACTGGATTATGAATTCATCTTACTCAAGGCTCAGTTTAATCTTACCTGCTAACTTAATAAAACCAAGCAAAACAAACAAACAAACAAAAAGCTCCTCTAAGGCAAACAGTACAATCTCTTAAGGTACAAGATTTTGCTTTTGGTATGATGCTGTGAAAGAACCTTCCTATGAATTCATGGATTTCAGTACATTCTTCACTGTAAACTAATCTGCCGTCTTCATTTCAGGAATGTTCCTTACCGTATCCGTGTGCGTTTGTCCAGAAAGCGCAATGAGGATGAGGATTCACCCAACAAGCTGTACACTCTGGTTACCTACGTACCAGTCACAACATTCAAAGGTAAGGTTCATGCATCTCCTCTGCTGTGTTTCTCTGAACAAGAAGCAAAGCAGGACAGCTCCTCCTGTGGTGCAAAATTTCCATGAAAAGCACACTGCAAGAGTCAAACCACTGGCTTAACCTAGCTCTGCTGTAGAGAACAGGATTCCCGATCCACATTAAAAAGAAGTGAAATGATCATGTAAATATTGAGAGATTGAAAAACACGGGCCATAGTCGCTAGGGTAGTTTTAAGGTTTGTTTTCCCATGTAAAGCCCATCCTCTAATGTCAAAAGCTCAGGCAGGTTAAGCCCTCTGCTTGTCATATGAGAAAAATCAATTCTGTGAATGCAACTAAATTTTTGTAATGTTTGGAGAAATACTTGTCTATATAGTTTGCTCTTCCAGAAGTACATCAGATCAGCCTTGAAACTGTAGGGTACTTTCTTGGGAAGACTTCCATATATATAACAGGTGGTGATAAAATGTCTTGTTTTGCAGGTCTACAGACAGTCAATGTGGATGAAAATTAAAACGGATTTTCATTACAATAAAAAGATAAAATACATTCTTAAGTTGTTTTATTGTCCAGTCTCTTCAAGCTCTCAACTGTGAAGCATTGAGTTGATCAGGTACCAGCCTTTTAAAGCCTCTTGCTTTCTTTGAATTTTAACATGATGGTGTAATTTTCTTAATTCAAGATAATTAGACTTAAGTTACATGTGAATGGAATAAGGAGGAGATTCAAATGTTCTTTGTGGGTGGCAGAGTCGTGGTGGGTTTGTTTTATTCTGGGTATTAAAGAGCCTTTACACAGGTATTTTAAGTTTAAGTCAAGTTTGTTTAAAAACAAAGCAAGAAAAACTCAACCAAAACTGATAGACCAGTATTTCATGTATGTAATCTCATGTGGATGATGTGCCCCACTGGCTTCCTAGGCAGACGCAGTAGGCTTCTCCCAAAGCAGCTCTGTGTGCAACACAGAAACAGGGTTTTGATTAGTGAAATAATTGTGATCATGCTACTTCAGGGTATTTGTTTAAAGCAATAGGGACTTAAGGCACTTAGCTTCCCTAAACCAGTAAATACTGTCAATGTCAGTCGTGTACAAAAAGAGTTTATTGAAAAGTGCATGTTTTCACAGACCAACATCAGAAGCACAGTCCATGTACACTTAACATTTCAGCAAGACATAAAAACTGGAATACAATCAAATATATTAAAATAGTTTCAATTACCAGCATTGAAACAGTTTTCAGTATTAGTGCAAAAAAAGGCAACCAAAATAAACTGTGGACAGCAGATGAGAAGTGTTTTCCCCTGCTTAAAAAAAACCAAAAAAACCCTGGAGCCAGCCTCTGCTTTCCCAGTGCAGAAGAGGGCTTCAGTGTCTTCACACTGTAGACAGATGTTTCCTTTTACATTCAAAACAAGAACATAAGAAGTCAACAGCACAAAACAAACCACACTCTTAGCTTTTAAAGCTCTTAAACTGAAAACCACAGACCAACAAATTGGACACCAGAGGTCCACTGCTAACTGAAAGCCTTTTACAGTATGTCCTTTGGCATAATTTCAGTGCATTTCATTTTTGACATGTTTGCTGCTACTGCATGCTTGGTTTTGCATGTTCAGTCCGTGACTGGCAGCTCATTCCATTTGTTCTGAGACTGTATTGATGTAGCTTTGCATTCTCAAGCTTTGGTTTCAGTTCTACGGGTTTTTCAAAGAAGTTAACTAATGATTGTTCAGTCAAGAGGGAGGCTAAAATATGTTCAAAAGACACAGTCCAGTCCCCTTCAGTCACAGGTGAAGGTTGAGAGTCTTTGTGAGGGGTCTTCACAGTGTCAGTAAAAACAGCATCCTGGTCTGAAGCAGAGGCCTCAGGCTGTAAGTCCTCTGTGAACTCGTCTGATCCACTCCCCAAGCTGATGCTCCTTTGTCCTACTTCTCCAATCTGAAGTAACAGCGTGGTCACAGTGGCAATGGCTTGATACAAATCGTTCTCCTCTGGATCTTCATGAAACATGCTATACAACGTTTTGCAGAACTGAATGAACTCTTTCTATAAAAGATGAAAAACCAGCATCAAAGTCTTGAACAGTCACGCTAAGGATCACTGCAGGAGTCAGGCAGGGCACGGGAATGCAAAGGCAGGTGGAATGCTGTGTACATTTGTATGTTCTTTTATAACTTCTGCCTGCTTTTTAAAAAATATTAGCGAAAGGATTTCAACCCCCAGTGGTACTAGGAAACCCTGTGCTGAAATCAGAAAGGGAAGACGGCAGTGAAGTATTTTGATGCCTTGATGAAAGAAAGCAGGACCTACCAGATGATCCAAGGGCAAGTGAGACACAAGGCAAGGGATAATCCCTTATTGGTGGCTGCTACACAGAGTTGGTTACAACCAAAGTGGCCATTCACAGGCCTGCAGGCAAACTGCTGTTTCTGTCCCCTCTTTCCCAGTTTTTCTAAAACAGTTCAGAAATCTTCCCTGCCCAGCTCCTTTCTGTCTGTCCCTTGCTCACCTATCGCAGGTGGTTATCAGGCTAGAGAGGATGTCTCCATATATCCCGCTAGGAAAGTCACGAGCCCTCAGTGAAATGATGCCTTTATGAGATCATGAGCCCCTGCAGAGCTGACAGGCTAGGTACATGTCACCCATTTAAAACTATTTAGCAACACAAGCACGGAGAGATTCTGAGGCCAGTCCCATCTTTCTTTGCATGTCTGTACATCTGTTTCATTAATATGGAGCCCGTTTCCCTCTGGTAGCTTTCCTTATGCCAACAACAGGAAGCTACTGGCATTAGGAAACATGGTGAGACTGACAGCCTTCAGCTGTTTTCCTGCAGTTCTAGTCAGTGTTTGGCTAAGTGGTGGAGTAAGAAGTTACACGTTTGGTGCAGAGGAGGTCGGGGAAGACAACAAAAAAGTGCATTCTTGGGAATTCTTTGGCTTAGGAGGAGGAAACATTTTTCCAGCCTGCATAAGCCTATTTGCTTGCATGTTCTACTGCAGGTGAGGGTGAGCCTGGAATTCTATTCACCAGCCAGTCTGAGCAGAGGGGACTGCTACGAAGGTAGTTTTTTGAAAGTGAAAGTTTTTAAGCACCTGCTGCCTGGATTAGAGGAGCCCAATCCTCAATGTCTGAAGGACAATCCAAGTTCAGGCTGAAGTTATATTTCATGAGAGAGAGCCAAACTGTTGAATTCAATAATTTCATTTTAAGTACACTTCTTTATTATACAGATTACAGCCTCTGAGGTACTTACCTGGCTCATTTTTGGCAATTCCTTTTCAGTTTTGGTATCCTTTTCTTTGGCTAGATCCTTCAGCATCTGCTTCAATTGCTTTTGGTAGTCTACTGCATCACCTTTTTTGGAGCAGACATAAAAAGGATAATTAATTTTCAAGTCACTGGAGTAAATTTACATTTCAAAATAAACCTCAGAGAGCAGAGATAACATGGTAGGGATCACAAGTGGAAAGTTGCTTATCTCATGCACTCACATTAGAGGACCATTCTGGACATACCGTTTGATTTTCCAATGACCAGTGGTCTTGATGTTGACAGCAAAGGATTCTTTAATGGTGACTGGCTGTCTCGTTCATTTTCTGTGAGAGCTGTCCAAGAAATGTGACAAATTTAATCCTTTGAATTCGCCATGATGGTTATTTATTTTTCTAAAATTTACATACTTGAAGAAAGTGAAGTAATTGCACAGATGTTTTGTAAATGCTTTTAGGTACTCCATTAAATCATTGTGTAAAATTATATTCCTGTAAGACTGGTGCTACAGTTGGAAGCTTACCAAGAACTGCACATTTAATTAAAAATTTTGCACAGAGGAACTACCGCAGCATTTTGTCACCTAATCAATACTGGATCAAGATATACAAGGAGATCTCTACTGTACATGGAGTACAAGCCATTCAAAAACGTTAGTTCGTATTTTGTCTGGAAGTAACCATATAATTGGCTGCAAAAGATCTCTGAATGCAGCAGAGGTGTGAGCTTTGACATTGTAATCTATACATTTAATCCAAAAAGGTTCCATTTGTAATTAATAGAGTGATTGTAAAATGCAGTGAGTTTAACTACAAATGCACATCCTGTAAGCTTACAATTGGAAGGAAGCAAGATGGGTTTCTTCATTAAGCAACTTTTTTCTAAAAGCAACAGATTTTTTGGGGAAACTGAGGTATTCAGTTCCTTTCAGACTTCTTACCTGGTGGGATATGCAGCTTATATAGTAACTTTATCTTTTCATTCATTTCTCCATTATACATAACATCTGTAAGGAAAATAAAGAACAAGAAGGAAGTGAACTGAGCATTTACTTCCACAGTTTAAAATAAATCAGGCATCCCTCCGAGCACAAAGGATAATTGTTTACATGGACAATAAACATATGGCCAGTGTGTAACTTTAGGTTGTGCCTGAGGAACAGGAGGTGACAGCCATCTGTTTTGGTCTTTGTTTTTGGGAAATAGGCTGGTAGCACCTAACCCTTTGGAGCTTCAGCTTCAGCACTGCTTTTCTATAGAGTAAGCCCAAAGGAGGCTTTCACATGTAATATAATTCACATTTTCAATGACCAATAAAAATTAGATTCTAAACTTCCAAATGCACTCAAATACTTCGAAGGACTTAAAAGTTGTATCCCTCTAAGAATCAAATAGAGAATATAGGGTATCTTAGTGTTCACATAAAAATTTCTAAAAATTGTAAGTGGAAAGAAAACAAAATCACTGATTTTTACTGAAGCTTTGAATTTAATTTTTTTCCACTTGAGGTCAGGCAACAGTTGAGATCTGCCACTTTCTCTTCAGCCAGATTTTGGACAGGCAGTCTCACCTATTAGGACAGCTGGTGGCCTCAAGACCAACCCTAGCAGAGCCCTCAGTTACTGCTGGCCAGATTTCTTTTGTTCTGCTTACTGTCAACATGCAAGGCAGGCAGCAGTCAGCTGTGTAAGGTTAAGTCTTCAAGAAGGAGTTTCAAAGAGGTACACTGAGATTTAAGATGATAGAGATTTAAGATACTCAGAGCAGAAACTGGGTAGAGAGGATTTCCTAGGATTCTCTGCAGACTCAAGTGTAATTCTTAACTCATACAAGATTTTCAACAAAATTATTATTGTCTGAGAAATCAAATACTATAATACAGCAATCAATCATGTCCTTAGGCTGTCTTTTAAATCAAATTGACTTCAGGTGATTGAAACACAAAAAAATGAGTAAAGGTCCCTGATACGGGTAATTACAAGCCCTAGAAGCCCTCCTCTCTGCCAGTTATGTGGCATTTTAACACTCCTGTCTCCCCCACGTGCTCTGGCCCCCGCCCAGCTCGCAGTGAGCCGCTACCCAAGCAGCTGGCGAGCCCCTTGAACTCGATGAGCCGGTCCATGTTGTCATCCAGGAGGCGGAAGGTCCTGTGGGCGAGGAGGTCGGTGTGCTCCCCGCAGGTCCAGGGCGAGAGCAGGCGGTAGAGGCTGGCGAACTGCCGGGCGTCGATGCGGTACTGCTCGGCGTACGGCCGGCTGGGGTCGTGGCGCTCCGACACCGCGCT